AAAAAAAATGGTGCAAATGAACTGATTTACAAAAGAGAGTCACAGATGTAGAAAACAAACTTACCGTTACCAGGAGGGAAAAGGCTGGGGGGGGGGGGATAAATTGGGAAATTGAGATTGACGTATACACACTATTATATATAAAATAGGTAACTAATAAGGACCTACTGTATAGCACTGGGAACTCTACTCAATACTCTGTAATGACCTATATGGGAAAATAAACTAATAAAAGAGTGGTTATATGTATATGTGTAACTGATTCACTTTACAGTACACCTGAAACTAACAACATTGTAAATCAACTATACTCCAATAAAAATTTTTTAAAATACATTTGATAGTATGTAAATTTAATCTTAAAAACAAATATTGAACTCTAAACAATGTGTGTGCTGAAGTGTTAAAGGGTAAAGAGTACTGATGGGGCTTCCCTGGTGGCGCAGTGGTTGGGAGTCCGCCTGCCGATGCAGGGGACACGGGTTCGTGCCCCGGTCCGGGAAGATCCCACATGCCGCGGAGCAGCTGGGCCCGTGAGCCATGGCCGCTGAGCCTGCGCGTCTGGAGCCTGTGCTCCACAACGGGAGAGGCCACAACAGTGAGAGGCCCGCGTACCGCAAACAAAAAAAGAGTACTGATGTCTGCAACTCACTAGAAAAAACATAAAAAAATAAGATTAGTTGATGGCTAGATAGATATCTGATAAAGCAAATATAGCAAAATGTTAAGAATGAAAGTGGTGAGATTTCGCTGAAGGTCCGGTGGTTAAGACTCTGCCCTTTGGACTTCCTTGGTGGTCCAATTGTTAAGAATCAGCCTGCCAATGCAGAGGACACAGGTTTGATCCCTGGTCCAGGAAGATCCCACATGACACGGAGCAACTAAGCCCAAGAGCCACAACTACTGAAGCTCTCAGGCTTAGAGCCCGTGCTCCACAAGAGAAGCCAGCGCAATGAGAAGCCCTCACACCGCAAGGAAGAGTAGCCACCGCTCACTGCAACTAGAGAAAACCCTCGCGCAGCTACAAAGACTCAGCACAGCCAAAAATAAATAAATAAATTTATTTTAAAAACTAAATAAATTGTTGTTATTTAAAACAATAATTAAAAAAATTTTAAAAGACTCCATGCTTCCATTGCAGGGGGTGCGATTTCCATCCCAGGTCAGGGAATTAAGATCCCACATGCCACATGGCATGGCCAAAAAAAAAAAAAAAAGAATGAAAGTGGTATTAATATATAGCTGCTTACTATAGAGTTCTTTCAAGTTTTATTTATGTTCACAAATTTTCATAATAAAATTCGGGGGAAAAATATATTCAATATGATACTGATGACGTAAAAATTCACATTTTGAGACAAGAAAAATTCTGGGAATTCCTTGGCCGTCCAGTGGTTAGACTCTGCGCTTTCACCGCCGAGGGCCCGGGTTCAGTCCCTGGTCAGGGAACTAAGATCCCACAAGCTTCACAACTTGGCCAAAAAAAAAAAATTCTGTTTGGGCCTCCTCCCTCCCCTCTAGTGTGCATTATGTGTATCTGCTTTATGCATTAACCAGCCCTCCCTAGCGGCAGAAATACCTGCTCAACCATAAATACCAATTTTTCCCCTTCTGAAGCCAGTCATGAAATTCCTGAGACCATAACATTCCTTTCTCAATCCTGTAAGGGGTCAGGATGCAGATATCTTGGGGAGATACTGGGTTGCACCTAATGGAAGTTCTTAGCTTAAATATTTATTTATGATTTTATTAATGTAACTAGCTGAATTACTTGTATTCTACGTTTACAAGATTAATGTTTCTTGCATTACCAAATGTGTGACTGAGCCTCAGATCAAATTAATGACAATTAAGCAACTTGAAACAATTGACCTTATATATAGTTCTAGAAGATCAATGATTGTAATGGTGTAACTCTACATATGGGAAGAAGCAACAAGAGGGAATCATTTCCTTGACCATGACAGACTGTAAGACAGGTGGTCCAGAGGCTTTTGACTACTCTAAGCAGGGCCTAGTCCAGTAATAGTACATTAAGTGGCCTATCAATGAAATCCTGACCTGAGAATGAGCATTCCTAGTTCCATGGGACAAACTGGTCACAAAATGCCTCCCAAAACTTGGTTGAAGTTAAGACTGAAAGGGAGGAGATTGTAAAATAAAGAATGTTGCCCACCAGCCAGTTCTACAAGAATTGTCATTAGCCACTAGAGTCACTGACCTACAACCCACCCTGAAAGAGCAAAGATCAGGATGAGGCACTTTGTGCTCTAGGAAAACTGACAGAAATGGCCCTCAGATATTTTCAGGAGAAATTTTTAAGAACCCAGTTTCCTGTATCTTCCCATACTTAGAAAAGCACTAAAACAATTAACTAAGATATCTGTTCCTCATGAATAGCAGTAGGCTTCTCCCAGGATGTGTGCTTGACTGCATGTAACCCTTCATCAAAATCACATATATTCTGGCCTCCTCCCTTACCTCTTTGGAACAGTTCTCAGAGCTCAGGTTGATGAGAATAAAATTTTCCATTTCTTTCTTAGATTGACTATTTAATTTTTTTAGTCAACAATCCCTTTTATTTTTTATATTAAAAATTGTTTTCTGTTTTATTTTTTTAACTGCAAAATGTTATCTTTCTACATGTTCATGTTTAGGCATGTAAATGCATCCAAAAGAGGGAAGGTTTACACACTAGAATGACAGAGGGATGTCAAGGCTCACTTGTGCTATATATCTGTACCATTTAAACTTTTTATGAGAATGAATAAATGCATTATGCTATCAAAATCAAATTTAAAAGAATGAATCTTGGGACATCCCTGGTGGTCCAGTGGTTAAGACTCCACACTCCCAATGCAGGGAGCCCAGGTTTGATCCCTGGGCAGGGAACTAGATCCCGCATGCGGCAACAAAGATCCCACATGCCAAAACTAAGACCTGGTGCAGCCAAATAAATAAATAAATATTTTTTTAAAACCCAAAAAACACAACAGGATTAACTTAAAAAAATAATAAAAGAATGAATCTTGGGACTTCCCTGGCGGTCCAGTGGTTAAGACTCCGTGCTTCCACTGCAGGGGGCATGTGTTCCATCTCTGGTCAGGGAACTAAGATCCTGCATGCCCATGCTGCGTGGCCAAAAAAAAAAGAAAAAAAATGAATGAATCTTAAAACTGCCCCCTGCCCCAAACACGCACACGTAAAATTGAATTAAATCGAGTGGCACTGATTGAAGGAGGGGTTGCTCTAGAGTTAAAAATGAGATAATGTGGGGCTAAGTCTGTGCCTGACATGTAGGAGAAGCCCAGAGAAGGGTTCCCACTGTTATCATCATTAGTACATGTCGCTTGGCTGAGTGAGCTGCTGGCAAGTGCTTTGCTGGAAGTCCTTTATCAGATATAAAGTCCCACAGGAGGTGCCGAGTCACGGCTGATCATATGCCAGTCAATAGCCAAATCTCTTCCCTCAGGCCTCAGGGAACCGCCTGAGGTGGGTAGCTGGGGCTTCAAGAAACAAGACCTTTGCCCAGGCTGCCTGTCTGCCCACCAACTTCAGGACAGCTCCCTGGCACCAGCACCACTGACCAGAAGCCCAGGGCAGAGATGCTGTTCCCTGCCACTCATTGCCTGCACTGATTTTCAAGCTTCAGGTTCAGCAAGGCCAAAGGGCACTGGAGTTGCTCAGGCCCCAGCGTGGCCCTGGGCTGCTACTCTCAAACCTAGGGACCAGGGCCAATCAACTTCATGGGCTTATGACTGGAGCAGTCATACTGGGTCCCAGGCTCAGAAGGACCTTGGGTTTGGTTTAATGCTCTGCTATCACTGTTCTTGGTAATTTTAAAACAAGGAGCCCCACATTTTCTTTTTTCACTGGGCATTGCATATTATGCAGCTGGTCCCACTAGGGATCTCCTTGTTTGGATTCATTTCCTTAAAGTGGAGACCTCGGAACATCGAGTTTTGTGGTTTAACCCATGCAGTTAAAGAAAAACCGCATCTTTTATCAGAATAATATGCACTTGTGTTCCATTTAGTGAGTATTTATTGAGTTCCTACTAAGTGCTGGACATTGTGCCAGGAGGGAGAGAGATAGAGACAAAAAAGACATGGGGCCAGCTCTTAAGAAGCCCTGGGTCTAATATGGTAGAGACAATGTTGCCAGTGGAATAGAGATGGGAGTGAAATAGTAGTTACCCTAGCCTAGGGGTCAGGGATGGCTTCTTGGAGGAAGTGGTGGTTATGTGGCGCATTAAGGAATGAGTAGGAGTCAGCCCTATCTAAGGTGGTGGGAGGAAGGTATTCTTGGGAAACTTTGCAGTCTGAGCTCAGAGACATACATAACAGGGTGTGGAGACAATGCAAGATTTAAACATTCTATTTAGACACCACCTTCACTTGTAAACACAAACATAAATGAGTATTTATTAAAATAAACGCATCTTACAACACATAAAGACCAATATTTTACATACATAAAATACACATTACCTGGTGGGTTATCTCCACTATTAGATTCGGGAAAACAGCACCAGTTTTACTTTGATTTCCCTGTGACTCCAGTTCCTAGTAGATGTTTAGACAACCAGTCAGTCAGCAAATATTTATTGAGCGACTACTTTGTGCCAGGTACTATTTTAAGTGCTGGGAACTCAGCAGTGAACACAGAATGTTTACTGTCAGGAAGCTGATGTTCCCTGAGGAGTCAGTACACATTTTGGAATGAATGAAAGGAAAAAAATGAATGCTTTTATCCAGTCAGCAATAAATTTCCGAAGAGGAGTGAGAGGGCCATTTTTGAGTTTTAGTTGAACACAAAGAAATCTCTTTTCTGGGGACTTCCCTGGCCGTCCCCGCTTCCATTGCAGAGGCACGGTTCAATGCCTGGTCGTGGAACTAGGATCCCACATGACGTTGCCTGTGGCCAAAAAAGAAAAAAAAAAAAAAAAAGAAAGAAAGAGAGAGAGAGAGAGAGAGAGATCTCCTTCCTGTTAAATAGAATTCAAAACGGGCAAGTAGTAGCAACCTCAAATGTGAGTCAGGTATACAAGAACTCAAACAGAGCCTTGGGTATTTAGACTCACAGATATAGATTTATTTGTCTTTGGGTGACACCCGTATATCAAAGTTCAGATGCTCATGCAAGATAAAATTTTATTTATTTATTATGTGTTTATGTATTTATTTTTGCTTCGCACAGTCATGACCCCCAGCATCCGGCTAAGAAGCCCTCGGCGTGTACATTTCGGTTAGATCCGATTTACACAAATTCGGTTTACGCAGGCGTGGGGCTGGCGGGTTCTGACCTGAGGCTGAGTCTAGCCGGAGCTGGGACGAACCATCTGTGTCCGCGGAGGGGGGTGGCGGGTCAGCTCCGCGCAGAGTCAGGGCCCAGACGGCTGGGATTCGGAAGCAGGCCAGCCTGGGGTCCCTTCACGCAGGGTCGCCGGGAAGGGGTGACTTTGCCAGGTTGCAGCTGGAGCTGGGGGCGGGGGGCGGCGCCGCTCGCAGGCTTCCATCCTTCCCCTCGGCGGTGGACTCGGCTGCAAAACCGGGGGTCCCTATTTCCCGGACCGTTTCCCACCTAGGCCGCGGCTAGGAGGTACAGCCGACCTGGGGGACCCGGGCGGCGGGTGCAGGTAGGACCCGGGAGGGTCGGGCCCGAGGGGGCGGGGGTCGCGGTGTCCCGACCTCTCCTGGCCGGACCGCCCCCTTGGTCCTACCCGGCGCGCGCGGGGTCGTTCCGGGCAGGCACCCCCGACCCCTTCACCGACTGTGCACCTCTCACGGCCCTCAGACCTCTCCGGACTTAATTTCCGGCTCCCGGCCTCATGGCAGACAAGAAACTGGTGGTCGTGTTTGGAGCCACAGGTAAGCGAAACCCCAAACGGGGGCCCCGAGGCGCAGGACCCCTCACCAAGGCCAGCCCAGGGCAGAGGTCAGGCCGGTCCGACCCCGCAGAGCGTGGGCGCCCGCCCCTCAGCTCCAGAAGACGTCCCCGGCGTCCTGGAGGGAGCGATGAGATGGCTGGGACCCCTGACTCACGGTGGGGCCGTGGGGCAGGACCTGAGAGCAGATTCCCTTTGAATTTTTTTAAAAAATTACTTAGCTTTGAATAGCAGGTGATTGCACATAATATCAAAATTAAATCTCCCTCCCACCTCTGTCCCCGAAACCCCATCCATCACTGTTGTCAAGTTTCTTGAGTAGGGCTTCCCTGGTGGCGCAGTGGTTGAGGGTCCGCCTGCCGATGTAGGAGACACGGGTTCGTGCCCCGGTCCGGGAAGATCCCACATGCCGCGTGCCCCGGTCTGGGAAGATCCCACATTCTGCGGAGCGGCTGGGCCCGTGAGCCATGGCTGCTGAGCCTGCGCGTCCGGAGCCTGTGCTCTGCAATGGGAGAGGCCACAACAGTGAGAGGCCTGCGTACTGCAAAAAAAAAAAAAAAAAGTTTCTTGAGTATCCTTCCAGACAAATTAGGTATATAAAGATACTGTTTATTAAATGGGAGTGTTTTATTTTTACCCCACCTGTTTTTTTCTTTACTGTATATATTTTAAAAATATATAACAGCTTTATTGAGGTATAAATCACATACCATACACTTCACATGTTTAAAGTGTTCAATTCTAGTATATTCACAGAGCTCTGTGACCCTCATCACAATCAGTTTTAGAACATTTCATCACCCCCCCAAAAAAACCCATACCCACTAGCAGTCACTCCCCATTTCCCCAGCCCCTGGAAACTGGCAGTCTATTGTCTAAAGATTTGCCCATTCTGGACATTTCATATAAATGAAATCATACAGTACATGGCCTTTTGTGTCTGGCATCTTTCACTGAGCATTGTTTTCCAGGTTCATCCACATTGTAGCATGAATCTGTACTTCATTCCTTTTTATGGCTGAATAATATTCCATTATATGGATATACCACATTGTGTTTATCCATCATCCATTATGGACATTTGATTTGTTTCCACCTTTTAGTTATTGTGAATAATGCTGCTGTGAACCTTCACATACAAGTTGTTGTGTGGACATATGTTTTTAATTTTCTTGGGACTATACCTAGGAGTGGAATTGCTGGATTATATGGTGACCGTGTTTAGCATTTTGAGGAACTGCCAGACTTTTTCAAAGCGACTGTACCACTTTACATTCCCACCAGTACTGTATGAGGGTAGTTGTAGTTCTTCAGTTTGCCTTTTCCACTCCAGGACATGTTGTGGTCACATAAGTCGTGCATACAGATCTGCTACATTCTTTTTTTTTTTTTTTTGTAATTTTATTTTTATTTTTATTTATTTTTGGCTGTGTTGGGTCTTTGTTGCTGAGTGCAGGCCTTCTCTAGTTGCAGCGAGCGGGGGCTACTCTCTGTTGCAGTGCGCAGGCTTCTCATTGCAGTGGCTTCTCTTGTTGTGGAGCATGGGTTCTAGGCACACGGGCTTCAGTAGTTGTGGATCGCGGGCTCTAGAGCACAGGCTCAGTAGTTGTGGCGCACGGGCTTTGTTGCTCCGTGGCATGTGGGATCTTCCCGGACCAGGGCTCGAACCCGTGTGCCCTGCACTGGCAGGCAGATTCTTAGCCACTGTGCCACCAGGGAAGCCCTGCCACATTCTTTTTAATCACTTTTGTATGGATTTAGCACTTATTTAGCCAGGTTCTTACCAAAGGACATCTAGGTTGTCCATAAACTTCCACTATGGATAATAATACTGCAGCCAATGTTCTTTTTTTTTTGGTAAGGAGTGGATTTATTTATTTATTTATTTATTTATTTGCAGCCAATGTTCTTATACATATATTTATGGATGATTTTTATTTTCTTTCTTTTGATGATTTTAATAATTTTCTCTCTTTTTTTTTTCTTTTTTGGCCGTGCCACGGAGCTTGTGGGATCTTAGTTCCCCGACCAGGGATCAAACCCAGGCCCTCAACAGTGAGAGTGCAGAGCCCTAGCCACTGGACTGCCAGGGAATTCCCCTCAATCTTTTTTTTTTTTTTTTTAAGGTATAGGTGATACTTTATTTCTTAAGCTAAGCGGTGGGCTTATGGGTGTTAGTATCCCTTTTTTGTATGTGCTAAATATTTCATAATACAGACTTCCCTGGTGGTCCAGTGGCTAAGACTCCACGCTCCCAATGCAGGGGGCCCGGGTTCGATCCCTGGTCAGGGAACTAGATCCCACATGCATGCCGCAACTAAAGAACCCGCATGCCGCAACTAAGACCTGGTGCAGCCAAAATAAATAAATAAATATTAAAAAAATATTTCATAATACATTTTAAAATTTTTGTAAAGGTGTAAGTGTGATGACTGCTAAAACATGGATGAACCTTGAAAACATAAGTGAGAGAAGCCAGACACAAAACACCACATATTGTGACTCCATTTATGTGAAGTGTCCAAAATAGGCAAATCCGTAGAGACAGAGAGTAGATTAGTGGTTGCCAGGGGCTAAAGGGGAAGGGAAAATGGGGAGTGGCTGCTGATGGGTATGGACTTTCTTTTCTGGGGCAATGAAAATGTTCTAAAATTGACTGCAATGATGGTTGCACACTCTGAATGTACTAAAAGCTGCTGCACTGTACACTTTAAAAGGGTGAACGTGGGCTTCCCTGGTGGCACAGTGGTTAAGAATCCGCCTGCCAATGCAGGGGACACGGGTTCAAGCCCTGGCCCAGGAAAATCCCACATGCTGCGGAGCAACTAAGCCCGTGCGCCACAACTACTGAGCCTGCACCCTAGAGCTGTGAGCCACAACTACTGAGCCCGTGCGCCACAACTACTGAAGCCCATGTGCCTAGAGCCCGTGCTCTGCAACAATAGAAGCCACTGCAATGAGAAGCCTGTGCACCACAACAAAGAGTAGACCCCACTCGCCGCAACTAGAGAAAGCCTGCGTGTAGCAACGAAGACCCAACACAGCCAAAAATAAATAAATAATTTGTTTTAAAATTGTATTTAAAAAAATAAAATTAAAATAAAAGGATGAATGTTACAGTATGTGAATTCTATCTCAATGAAGCTGTTAGTTACAAGATTGTGTGAGGCAAAACAGTGGGAATCACAGGTGAAAAGTGCCAGGTGTGTTGCTGTGGTGGAGGATTCCCTGCAGGGCCTCACCCTTGGCAGGCTCCCAGGCTGGTCCCACCCTGCAGGTCTTTCTGCCTCTCTGCAGGTGCCCAGGGGGGCTCAGTGGCCCGGACACTCCTGGAAGATGGGACATTCAGGGTCCGAGTGGTGACCCGGGACCCTGGGCAGAGGGCAGCGAAGAAGCTGAGGCTGCAAGGTGCAGAAGTAGTGCAGGGAGACCAGGATGATGAGGCCAGCATGGAGCTGGCCCTGATTGGGGCTCACGCCACCTTCATCGTGACCAACTACTGGGAGAACTGCAGCCAGGAGCAGGAGGTCAAGCAGGTAAGGGCAGGCGGGAGGGCATGGGGAAGCCAGGGCAGGAGCAGGCCATCTTCAAAGGTGCTCCCAGGTCTCTACTTGCCCTTGTGGGGCAGCTCCAACTTGCCAGAGAGGGGCTGACCCCTGCCTGACCACTGACACTGCAGGCCTTTCCCCTCCTCTTCTATGCAGCCCTCCTAGACTTTGATGAGGGCAGAAGGTGGCCGCTTCCTCATCCGATGACTTCTTTTAGACATCATTCATGTACCATACTGTTCACCCTTTTGTTTTTAAAGCTTTTATTTTATTACTATTTTTAAAGTATTTATTTATTTATTTTTGGCTGCGTCAGGTCTTAGTTGCGGCACGCGGCATATTTTGTTGCAGCACGTGGGCTTCTCTCTAGTTCTGGTTCACCGGCTCAGTAGTTGAGGCACGGGCTTAGTTGCTCCGCGACATGTGGGATCTTAGTTCCCCAACCAGGCATCAAACCCGCATCCCCTGCATTGGAAGGCTCATTCTTAACCACTGGATCACCAGGGAAGTCCCTGTTCCCCCTTTTAAAGTGTACAATTCAGTGGTTTTTAACATATTCACAAAGTTGTGCAGCCATTATCACTACCTAATTCCAGAACATTTCATCACCCCAAAAGAAACACCATACCTGGTAGCGGTCACTCCGCATTCCCCACTTCCTCAGCCGCAGGCAACCACAATCTGCTTTGTGTCATCCAGTGACTCTTTACACTTTCTAAAAAACTCTATTGACCCATAATTTTCTTAAAATCAAATGTAGGGACTTCCCTGGTGGTGCAGTGGTTAAGAATCTGCCTGCCAATGCAGGGAACATGGGTTTGATCCCTGGTCCAGGAAGATCCCACATGCCACAGAGCAACTAAGCCCGTGCACCACAACTACTGAGCCTGCACTCTAGAGCCCGCAAGCACAACTACTGAGCCCGCGTGCCACAATTACCGAAGCCCACGCGCCTAGAGCCCGTGCTCCGCAACAAGAGGAGCCACCGCAATGAGAAGCCTGCGCACCACAACGAAGAGTAGCCCCCGCTCTCCGCAACTAGAGAAAGCCCACACACAGCAGCGAAGACCCAGTGCAGCCAAAAATAAATAAATAAATAAAAGTAAACTTTTTAATTGTACAATTTAATGAAATTTGAAAATAAATATACCCATGTAACTACCATTCTAATCAAAATATAATACATCTCCATCATTCCGAAAAGTCCTCCATGTCCCCTTTCAGATGTTTTCTGTTTCTCTTTATTGTTTTCCACCCAGCTTCTCTCTGGTTGGGTGGTTATTGAGCCCAGGTGGTGGGGGGAGGGATGTGAGAGGAACACGCATCTTTTTAAAGTCTCTTGGAAGGTGGGGACACTTGCGGTGGGCCTGTCACGTAGCAGGCACTCAGGTATTTGTGGGAGGTATGACTGGTGCCACAGCAAAGGCACTGGGCTGAGACTCGTGCCTGTCGGCTTTCAGTCCTGCCTCATCCACAGCTCCCCACCGTTGTGGCTGTGGACGTGACTTCCCCGCGCTGGTCTGTCTTTCCTCCTGTGTACAATAAAGGGAGACTGGACCGGACCACTGGTCTCCAAACTTGTTTTTAGCCCTGAGCCTTTCTTTAGTTACAGTCTTACATGGAAGCCCATCTCAGAGAGTGGACAGAGACAGCTTTTCTGGTGCACGCAGATCTCGTCAACCTGACCTCCTGAGCCATAACAAATGACCCCAAGCCAGGTGGCTTAAAACAACAGGAATTTATTCTCTCCCCGTTCTGGAGGCCAGGAGTCCAACAGCAAGGTGTTGGCCCTGCCCTGTCTGGAGGCTCCAAGGGAGGTTCCAATTCTTGCCTCTTCCAGCGCCCAGTGGTACCAGCTCTCCGTGAGGCAACATCACTCCAGGCTCTGCCTCTGTTTACACAAGGCCTCTCCTCTTCTCTGTGTCTCCTCTTCCATCTCTCATAAGGACACTCGTCATTGGGTTGAGGGCCCAGGAGGATAATCCAGGATGATCTCAAGTTCCTTAACAAAAATATCTGCAGAAACCTTTTTCCAAATGATGTGGCATTCACAGGTTCTGGGGTTTGGGACATGGACATATCTTTTGGGAGGCCACCATCCAGCACCCTACACAGCCTTGTGCAGCAGGTCGTGTTTCTGTCCCCATTTAACCGACAAGGCCAAAACAGTTAGACCCCTTGTCTTGGATGGCACAGCCAGTGTGCTGCAGAGCTGGTCTGGAGCCCAGGTGGTTTGTGTTGTGTGCTTAACTGCTGAGCCGTAGCACTTCCCTAGGGGATGGTTGGGGCTCTCCCAGGAAGACGGCCCAGCACGGGGACAAGATGCTTTCTGAGAGCAGGCAGAGGCGGAAGCCTCTGTGCGCACCCTCCCACGTGGCACACGGTGGGCTGTGGTCCAGTACACTGGAAGGTGGAACGACCCAGACGATCTAGAGAAGGGGCGCTAAGGCTATGCGAGTGGTGAGAAGCTTATAATCCCGTGGTAGAGCGTGTGGCGCCATGTGAGCCGCACACGGAAGAGGGAGCCTTATCAGAGGGCTCTTGGCACCGGGCACAGTGGCCTCTGGGGTGGGAGAGCCAGTGCTGTGATGGGGACACACATCCTCCCTCTGAGCTTTGTGGTTTCTCCTTCCCTGCCCACCAGGGAAAGCTGCTGGCCGATCTGGCGAAGCGCCTGGGCCTGCACTATGTGGTCTACAGTGGCCTGGAGAACATCAAGAAGCTGACAGCAGGGAGACTGGCAGCAGGACACTTTGACGGCAAAGGGGAGGTGGAGGAATATTTCCGGGACATTGGCGTCCCCATGACCAGCGTGCGGCTGCCCTGTTATTTCGAGAACCTCCTCTCCTGCTTCCTGCCCCAGAAAGCCCCAGATGGAAAGAGCTACTTGCTGAGTGAGTGCCCTCCCCGCTTCCTCGGGTGTCTCCTCTCACCGTGTGGAGCCGTGGTGGCCCACTGGGCTTGTCCTCAGAGGGCTCTGGGTCCAAGCTCTGGCTCGCTCACGTTAGGCTGTGACTGCGAGCAATGCATGTGACCATGCTGGGCCTCTGCGTCCTGTCCCGTGAGATGGGCATGACTCGGACTTCCCCGGGGCCATGGGAAAATCTGCCGAGTCTGGGGATACAGTGCTTTGTCTGTCGAAGAGCTTTACGGAGAGAGTGTGCTTATCGTTACTGCTTCATAAATAAGGAGAGGATTTGGATAGCGAGGTCCAATTGTAGATTTCCCGAAATAGGAAAGCACTTTCTTCTCAACATCTGTTTGCAAATCCGTAAACAGCTTCGAGGGAACCATGTACGACCTGTGTCCTGCCGGCGGGGCAGTGGGTTAATGCAGGTGGCTCAGCAGGCGGAGCAGGAGGGGTCTGAGCCCTCCCAGCCTCTCACCTCTGTGTGAACGCCGCTCACCCTCGCTTGGGTCTCACCTGCTGGTGAGCAGTCTTGTCCTTGTGTTGGCACACCGGTTTGCAAAGCCATAACCAGAGATTTGCAAAGCCATAATCAGATTCACCTGTGTTCCGTCTGTAAGTTGGAACAGGCTCCACCCCGGCAGGCTCCCTGGCCCATCTGAATGGGCAGCCACGGAAATTTTATAGGGCAGGGCCTGAGCGCTCCAGGTGCCTCATCAGGACACAGCTCTGCCTCTCCATCCCCAAGACCACACCTTGGCAGGTGGAGTCACTCGTTAATTTAACATGTTTATCAGCACCCGTCATGCTGCTCTGGGGTCAGCCCTGGCCTCAGCTGATCGAGCATTCCTGCCGGTGGAGCTGGTGTTTGGAGCACCCCCCACCACAGGCGTCCCTAACAGGGATTCGGGTCTGACGAAGTGTACGGGGGCCTGAACCCTGGGAGCTCCCGTTCTCAGAGGTGCCTATCAAAGCCTTCCTCTCCTTCCCCTTGTTCCCGTCTCAGGCCTGAGAGGGGCAACAGGCCCAGGGTTCTCCCCGCCTTGGGAAGAGCACAGCCAGGCTCCCAGGGTTTGAATGGCCTGCCAGGTGGCACAGCTCGATCGTGTCCCATTTCCTGACTCATTTCTCCTGCTGACACCGGAGGTGTCTGCCTCGTGCCAGGTGCTGGCTTGTGCACACATCCAGTCGACTGGCCGGTGGGGACCAACCCCTCAGAGACGCGTGCCAGCACGTCCCTCTTTCCCTCCCAGGCTTGCCCATGGGTGACGTGCCCATGGACGGCATGTCTGTGTCCGACCTGGGCCCCGTGGTGCTCAGCCTGCTGAAGATGCCCGAAGACTACATCGGCCAGAACATCGGGCTCAGCACCTGCAGGCACACGGTGGAGGAGTATGCTGCCTTGCTCTCCAGGCATACCAGGAAGACCGTGCGAGATGCCAAGGTGGAGGGCCCAGGCTTGGGACTTGGCAGCCGCGGTCAGAGGGGCTTTGTGGGTAGAAGGGAAGGGGCATCTAGGGCTTCCCTAGCACTCTGAGCAGCGTAAAGCCAAATTCATTCACTGTGAACGTTTATATCGTGCTGTTCTTAGGAGCCAGGTGTGGCCACTGAGTGAAACTTCTGGTTTTGTCAGTTGATCAAGTGGTAAGGAAGGGTTCCAGGAAGAGGGGACAGTAGGGGCCAAAGCAAGGAGGGAAAACGCAGGGTGTCTTGGGCTTCTCTCGGGGAGGGGAAGGAGGCCGGAGTAGGCCCCATCCTGGTCCCCTCTTCTTGGCCTGGCAGAGTCCCCTCCTCACCTTGCCTACTCTGTCTTCCTGTCCAGACCCCCAGGTGCCTTGTTTCTTGTTTCTCATTATGAAAATCTGGGCTACTCCAAGTCATTAAATGACAAAAACCACCTGTAGAGCGCCCTCAGACCCAAGCAGAGCAATGATGGGGGAGAGGCTATGGCAGGACGGGCCAGTCAGACCTTGGACTCAGATCTTGCTCCCAGCCCTTAACACCCACCCGTGTGTGACTGGAGGCCCAGCCCCTGACCCCTCTCTGCCTCAGTTTCCTCATCTGTAAAGTGGGTGTATGGAGAGTATCCCCCTCCTCGGGCTGCTGTGAGGATTGAATGGAACAATTGCTGTAAATGCTCCCAATGAACGCACTAGAAACATGCACTAAATGGTTGCATATTACCCTCTAAACAAAGAAAGCCTGAGGCAGTCATGGAGGATTTGGAAGCTGAGGAGTTAAGATTCAGTTCGGTCAGGAAAGGGGAACACCTTTGGTTTTTTGAGCAAGAAGTGACGTAAGCATAGTTCTGATTTGGAAAGGACTGAGAAGTTTTCATCTCATCATCTTGGAAGAACAGGATTTAAATTGCCCTAGAACAGTGGTTTTTGACGTTTCATCTTTATAATAGACTGGTTTTCAGGTGAACTTAGTGGGGACCAGGGTAGGAACTGAGGTGTCAACGGCGTGGTCAGGGTACTGCAGATGCCGATCGACCCTAAGAGACTCCCCTCTGCTTCCAGATAAGCCCCGAGGACTACGAGAAGCTTGGCTTCCCCGGCGCCCAGGACCTGGCCAATATGTTCCGTTTCTATGCCCTGAAACCTGACCGCAACATCGAACTGAGCCTGAGGCTCAACCCCAAGGCCAGGACGCTGGACCAGTGGCTGGAGCAGCACAAAGGGGACTTTGCAGGACTGTGACCCTGCCCACCTCTCAACCCCATCTGGGGGGATGGGAGGTATAGTCACAGTGATCCTTTCTTGTGTTACAAGAAAGTTTATTTTTTAAATAAAGGCCATTGTTCTCACAGATGGCTTCCAAAAGAAAAGTGCTTTGTTTCAGGGACTGGGGTTGGGGTGGCAGCTGCCTGAGGACATGAAAGTTCCAACAGGAAGCATAAAGTGGTGGGGGCCCAGTCAAGTGGCGGGGGGCTGAGAGGACCCCCCCTACGCCCGCCAGCCAGGAGCAACATTTGACACCCCTGCACACATGCCGTTCCTCTCCAGAACGTGAGTGCAGCCACCCACGTGTTCCTTCTTTGAGTTTTAGGGCAGGAAGACCGGCCCCTTCTCCCTCACTCTTTTCCTGCCTCCTGGGCCCCCGGGTGCAGAGGCCTCGAGACGTGGGTGATCGCAAAACAGGCTGGAAAGAAACCCTTGAAGGAACGTGGCAGTTCTGTGGACCCCAGGTCATATAAGACTTGGACACTGCTGAGAAAAGGTGACACCGCCCGCAGCAAAGGCTGGGAAGGGAAATCAGAGAAATAACCACCCAGCCCTACTTGGTGGGTTGAGCTCCCCAGGCATTTGGACCGTTTCCCTCTCCTGCTTGCTTTAGAGAAGAGAAATGAAGGCCCAGAGGACACAGCCGGCAGACTGACCAGTGTCTGCGTGGACTTGTGAAACCTCCACCAGTATCTGTACTACCCCGCCTCAGCCTCAGGACCCGCAGAGGCATTGAAAGGGGAGCAGGGCAGCCAAACTCATTCGATCTGTTCATTAACTGAGTCACTGAAAAAGCACTTCTTTGACAACCTACCAGTGTAAGCTAGGCCCTAAATACAATGTTCACCAGAAAAGTATGCGCCCTGCCTTGAGCCTGGTTTAGCAAGAGAGCCAGATACAAATCTGCAGAATGACTGCAGATTGATATAGGGTTGCAGACAGCAGGAGGAATGAGGAACACTGGAGGAGGGGCCCACTTTAGTGGGACAGGGACAGCTTGCGGTCTGAGGGGAGAAGCCTCCCAGTCAGGGTAGGAGGAAAAGGATGTGATGACATGGGCTTCCAAGCCCACCCATGTCAGCAAGAGAACATGAGAGGTCATCTGTGTCCAGCCCTGTGATGCCCAAGTTCCCCAGGCCCCTGCGTGGGAAACTCACCTGCTGGGGCTGTGACTCACCGTGCCGAGATCCTGGAGCAGCCCTTGGCCAGTACCAAGCCTGGGTAGAGCCTGCTGTGCCAGGTCCAGGTCCAGGTCCAGGGCGAACTGCAGGGAGCTGATGCCAGGCTCCAGCCACTCCTCCTCCACAAGCAGGCCATGGACACGTCGCCGAGCCTCTTGGGTCTGTTTGCTCACCCGGTGCCCCCTGGCCAGGCTGTTGTGAAGGCAACGTAAGGGCATTTGTGCGAAGCGGTGTCTGACTCCCCTGGGCTCACATGGTCAGGCCTGTGAGCCTCCAATGCCTTCCCTTGTCCACGCTCCAAACATTTCAGCAAATGCTCACACCATCTACCTCTCCTCCTCTCGATCCCCAGAGGCTCAGGGACCTGGAGATACTCTTTTGTATTTTTAAATACCTCACCTCACACTACAGCCCCACCTCGGGCTGCAAAGTTGTCTGGAGACATGTCTCAGGATCCAGCTGTGGGAATAAGCCAAATCCAGTCCAGGCCTTGAGTGGCGCTTGATTCTACAGATATTGCCCCGCCACCTTCTGACCATCTGAGGGGAGGACGCCTCAGTACAGCAATGAAGATGTCTCGCTAGAAAGAAAATCCACTTTTCCCTTTCAAAGTCTAGGCTTCTGTTTTCAGAAGACAGGCCATGAGTGGGACTTCGGTTGGCTTCTCCAGGAAGAAAACCTAAGCTATCACGAGAGAAACCATCTAGCTCCCCACCGCCATACCCCGGGGTCTAGGATCCTTCCAGGCCCATACTGAGTCCACAGCAGGCACTTGACAAACTTCTGTTCAATGAAGGACAAGTTTGGAAATTGGCAGGAAGTCACTGAGCCCCTTTCTCACCCAACAGGTATTCCCAGCCTCTTCACCCAACCCAGCAGTGCCCTCACACCTCAACCTGCTCAGCCCAGAACCCAGAGTGGGGCAGAGCTATATGCTCGGGGCCCACTCCAGCCATGACAGCACTTGGGCTTTTGTGAGACAGCCCAGACTAACACTGCAACACAAAAATATACCTTAATATTCCTCTGAAAATAATGGAGGAAAAAAAAAATTAAAAAAAAAAAAAAAAAAAAAATCTAGTGAGGGAGCTGGTGACCTGTAGGGACCTAAGTAGGCCACACTGCACGTCTCTCAAATCGCAGGCTGCCAGAGAAAAAGCTACATGCCGAACCCTAGAACATTCGTCAGATCAGCACCCTCCCCCCTCTGGGATCTGGGCTGGAGAGGGTCAGCGCCTGTCAGAGCGCCACCCGTCGCTTGGCGCACGTGACTCCAAGGACTAGGACAGCTACCTCCAGCCGCCCCAGGAAGGCCAGCAGAGACGTGGGGTGGCCTGACTGGCAGGTGACCACCAGTAACCCCCTGCTGGGCCACCTGCAGAAAGCTGTCTGAACTCTCAAAGAAGAAATGACAACAATTTAGGTTTTAAATATCTCTTTGTAGTAGATAATCTTATTTACATTGATACAGAATCATTTTACATTCCTAAAGCAGACACTAGTAGATACTTTATTTTAGTAAATTATGAAGGAAAACAAAAAGGGAACTAATCAGAAGTGTTCTCCATTAACCTGTCTTACCACAGCAGGGGGATCTGGAAACACAATGGAACCCACACATCCTACGAGCCAAGGCTGGGGAAACAGTGTTTTGCTCTGGCTGGATGGTGGAGAACCTTCAACTGCTGAGACTGTGCTCTCCTTTTCTAAACAAACGTTTATCAGGAAAAGACGATGATTCTTAGCACTGAATAATTTAAACACACTTCTGAAAACAGAGGTCAACTGTGAGTGGTGAGAACCAAGGCCCTGGCAGGCAGCAGGGCAGGGCTCCGGGTTTAAGAGGCCGTTAGTCGGCCCCAGGCCACGGCTGGCTGTGGTCCAGCAGAAGGGCAGGAGCTCCACTCACACCCGGCTTAGAACAACAGAACTCAACTGTCAGGGGACAAGGGGCCACCCCAAGTGGGGTGGGAGGAAGGACTATCCATCCTGACAGAGATCATGGCCCATGTGATCAGAGTAGCATCTCCAGGGACTGTCTTCATATGTGTCACCCCGGGCCCCCAAGGCCCCCATGTTCCAGCTGCTTGGTACCTTTTGGAATTAAAACAAACTCTAGCAGGGGATGCCCCTGCTGAGGAGTGGATGACACAAGTGGGGCGTGCATGCCCCAGGTTCCTGGAAAAGACAACGCTGTCAGGAAAGACTCATTCTGGAACCTCCCAGAGGTTTGCTGAGAGGGAAATTAATCACTTCACAACTCGGTGCAACTTAAGGCTTCATTTTTAAGCGGTAAGCATGGCCTTTAATTCTTTAACCACATTTGATTCCAAATCAGAGTTTTAGCTCTGCAAGAAATGTCCAGCTGTCTGACTCTGCCGGAGCCAGAAGAGGCCAAGTTACCTACCCATGGATAGGAAACTACCAGCCCTGAGACCTGCCATGCCTTACTGCCCAGGGGCTGTCCACCATGACCCTTCCATGGAGAGGTGCATTGTCACATGATTTTGCTGTTTCCAAGGTGGTCCAGAGGGCCTCTGCAGGCAGGGGCTCGGTGCTGCTGTGTGGAATCCTCCTGCATCTGAGATGCCCTGGCCACAAGGAGGGGCTGCTGCTCCCGGCCTAGTTTCCGGTGGACCGTTTTCCTGAGCCAAGACACAAACAGTTACATTTCACTGGCATTGCAGGAAGAACACGCCCTGTTGGTGAGCTTCTGTCATCCCTGAGAAGGAGCTGCACCAGGAGCCCCAGCCACCAGGGACCAGCACAAGTAAAAAGTGAGTCCCGAGACACCACAGTGAGCAAGCAGGACTCCTGGCAGTGCCCCCCACCCCAGCCCTAACCAAGGTTGACACCTCCCCGTGCCTCCCAGGCAGGACAGGGCGGGGATTGGGGAGATCTGAGTTCTAGGCCTGGCTCTGCTATGACTTGCCCTCTGTGACCGTGGGCAACCTGGTCCTCACCACGGCAGGACGCAGAGCCCCCAGGAGCTGGTGGAAGGAGGGCTGGGAAGCAGCAACCTCTCCAGGAAGTGGAGCCGCAGAAGCGGCTACATTCTGTGGTTCGGCCCTGCACTACCGGCTGACTCCCCACAGGCTGAGGCTTGACTCTGAGGGGAGCCAGACACACCACACCTGAGACTGGAACCTCTTCAACTCTGGGTGTGGGGGGACGATACTGGTTAAAGTGACAGAAAACGGATTAGTTCACAGAGGGGAACAAAAAGGGGAGGAACCTCAGGGGTTTTCCTACCTCGGCTGGGATATCAGGAGGTAAACATTTTCTTAAGTTTGGAAAGGAGTCCCTCCTTGTCCTCCCCAGCCTCAGGCCTAGCCTTGCCTCCTGCGGAGCTATCCATGGTGCTACCACCTGGGCACAAACAGCAGAGAGAACTGGGGTCAAGGGCGCACACCTCCATGTGTCCCATCCCAGGTCCCGCCTGGCTACCCAGGGCTCGCCACTGAAGGAGCCACCAAGCGCCACCCGGAGAGCAGAGGGGGCTGCACCCCGATTGGCCAGGGCTGCCCCGCCTGTCAGATGACTCAGCACTTCGGAGCATCCCAACTGCTCCTCGAGTCACTGGCCCTCGAAAGGAAGACAAGAAATAGAAAGGGACAAAAAGGAGCTGTCTCTACCTTAACAACCGTAATAGAAATAGAGCCAAGTGCCAGATGTCTTCTGGGCCAGGCCACACGGCATCCACATTAGCTCGTTCAATCCTTAGGCTAACCTTACAGGTAAGTTCCACAGATGAAAAAACCAAAAACCAGAGGCACAAAGGGGTTAGGTGGCATGCCCAAGGTCACAGAGCCGGTAAGCAGGCAGGAGGCCCGAGATGAGACCCAAGCAGTCAGATGCCAAAGTCCAGGCTCTCACTCACCGGCTCTGAGAAGTGAAGAACACGCACCAAGACCAACCAACCAGCTTCCACAGCCTGTCGGGGCACACAAACCGTCTCCGGGACACCTGGGGATCCCAGGACATGCGCACTTCTCATCTATGACAATGGCAGCCGAGGACCCTGTGTGTCACTGGGCAAGCATCTGGCTCCCAATGCTCCAGATAAAGGGAGGCTGATCTGCTGTTTCTTGAGGGCCCACTGAGAGCAACTCTGCTGCACTAACACATCGTTTTAAAGACCTGCCAACCACGAGGCAGAGGGCCAACTTGTTATGAGCTGGACTGTACTCAATATTTTTCATTGTGCTAGGAGAATTAGCACATCTCAACATGCTAGGAGATGTACATCAAGTACAGCACGTCGAGGGTACAAAATGGTCACGTCTCCAAGATCTCAGTCTAAGACGCCTTTGTTGGTGAGAGGCCCAAAGCTCTGGGCAACAGGCCCCCAGCAGGGGTGGGGCAGGTTGTCCTGGGTACAGCCCCCCGGGCCGTCCTCTGGACCTGATGTGCTCTCCTAAGTCAGGAATGTCCTCAGAGAGATAGCGGTGGCCCCAAACAAGAATGTGCTGACAGAGGTCTGAGCAACCACAAAAGCCCGATGCCCAGGGCTCCCCAGGTGAGGACCCGGGCACTGCACAGTCACGGCGGCAGGCCCCTGTGAGAGGCATCCATGGCCGCAGGTTACAAGGCCAGGTGTGCCCTCCTTCAGTCCTTCACGTCCCCTTTTCTTACATAAAGACTTAAGTAACAAAAAAGGACTCTCCTAACACAAAGGAATCCACAAACCAGAAATTTCCTGGGCCTCCTCGGACAAGGCAAGGCATGGCAAAAGTATTGAATTTTGTTATGTCCTTGGTGAGGGGACAGCAAGTCTGTGTGTGTGTGCACGTGTGTGTGTGTCTCACACTATGAGTTACTGCTGCTGATGGAGCTTTTAACATGTGCCAGGTATCGTGCCAAATGCTTTATCCACATGATCTTATTTAATCACAGAAGAACCCTATGAAGTAGATGCTACTATTATCCCCAATTTATAGATGAGGCAACTGAGGCTCAGAAGTGAAGAAATTTGCCTAAGGCTTTATAGCTAAAAATGGCAGAGCTGGGACCTGAATCATTTGATAGCAGAACCCAAGCTCTTAACTATTAGTCACAATGGGGCACAGAAACACTCAGTGACCACCATCACCCCCACCCCCACTCTGCTGTCCCTGCAGTCATGCCCCGGGGCCACAGCGTTTGGCCAAAGTCTGGGAGAGCCAGAATAAATACCTAGTTAGCGGGTTAATGATTCAAAACCAAAAAATAAAACAGAACACAGACACACCTGGAAATTCTCACCCCCTGCCACCAGAACACATTCTTATCTCTCTATATTTTAAATGTGGGCTCCTTCAGGAATAAGGCTTACTGACAGGGACATCAAAGGATTTAAACACTGAATTTAAAATTCTGAACCGAAAGTCAGGGATAAACTGTGAGCCTCTGCACACGGATGATGCAGTCTATACCTACATCACTTTTCTGGCTCATGGGAGGAGGGACGTGTCCTTATAGGATGTCCTGAGCACTCAGGTGCCTTCTGGTTTCATTACAGGATACAAGCTGGCACATGATTCCTGCACTTAGGATAAACAGGAAATGCCCATGATCCCTCCAGCTGCACAGGCACTGCATGAGCGTTTCCAGTCTGCACCTTCAGGAGGTGACCAGAGCGGAGGGGCTGCTCAGCCAACCTCAGGCAGAGGTCAGACCCGAGGCACAGGACTCCTCTATCAGACCACACGCAGCTTGCCCGAGCAGGGGTTACATTTCCATCCCTCAGAAGGAAAATGAATTCAGATAAACTCAGCTAACAGGCGCTGTGCACGTGCAGGGGATTCAAAGAGGACATGCTCCCAGCCTACAGGCAGCGATTCCCAGTCATAAGTGTTTGATGGCCCTTTACAAAATGAAGAATAACCAGGTAACATTCATTCTGGGAATGTGTACCACCTTTCTCCACAGTCACAAACCCCTAGTGTTATAAGCAAGGTCTAACACTTATTTGGGGGTTCAGTGCTTGCCCTGTCCTCCCCACTCACACTGTAAGCTGGATGGGGCAGGGACCCTGTCTCTCTGTGCATTGCTTATCACGTGGCAAATGCTCAATGACCATCTGTGTGAAGAAACAGAGAAGCCAACAGGACTCCAGGATGACTTCTGAGGACTGGACCCACCCTACAGGTAGAGGTGCGGGTCTACACTCACAGCCTGACTCCCTGAGCCGTCTACACACACAGACTGAGCCAGTGGAGCACCCCTTGTTCCACTAAAATGTCTCTTCCCTCATCTTCCTCTTGCCTCCACCCTGCCTAGATAAAGGGGCTCTATAGTCAACTGTCAGCTTGTCAGAGAAGAGAACGCAGTGGGATCCCCAAATAATGAGCTATGGAACAGGCTCCTACACGACAGCTAAGTGTACGTATGTGGGTTGTCACAGGAATTAATGATGATCCAGAAACACAAACAATGAGCCACACTGTCTCTAAACCCAAAAGGCCACGTGGTACCTCAGAGCACCCCAGGCCCCCGAGAGCACTAAGGGTCCCAAGCTCACTACGGTCTTCTGCTTCACAGACTGGGAATGAAGCCAGGGTCAGACATTAAGGTTTTCAGCAGGGGCTTTAGGGAACAAAAGTAAACAAGGGATACTAAACCCACCAAAAACTTTGCGTCAGTTTCCTACATAATTGTAACTATTCCAAATGCCTTCCCGTAATGAAAGCAAAGACACCCAGGAATCCGTTTGTATCTGCAGTGACAGTCTCCGATGACTATCTCACTTAGAGGCTATTAAGAAATGACACTTTAGCCCAAGAACCACTGATGACTGCAAGCAACTGCTTCTAGTAAAACTTTAATAAAAGAGATTCAGGCTCTACTTAAATAAATAGGAGTCACCTTAAGGAAGTTGACAGGAGGGGAATTTTGTACACTGGTGTGTTTTCACACGTGGACTGCAAAGGTAACTTTCTTCACAGTGTAACAAGAGGCTTAACCACACCCAGGTAGCAGACTGACTGACAATGCATTCTTTGAAGCCATTACTAAGATTCTTAAATGCCTTTCAAAGAATTATGTCTGGCAGCCAAATTTCCCACTGGAATACAATTCTGAAATGACAACAGAAGTAGAAAAAATAATAATTCGGCATACTCATTTTACTTTATAAACACTTTTCACAAATGCATCCAACGCCTATGTAAAGTTACGCTATAGTTAGCAAAATTATGTCAATAAACATTTAAAGGAAGAACTGGCAAAGTGTCTGGCACACAGGAGCGTCCCAATAAATCCTGGCTGAACAAGGGGACAGGGAATGAGCTAACAGGACAAAGAACCATGAAAATAATGACGGTTCTAAGAACACTCATAAGCTGACTGCATGATCAACTCCCAATTTAAGCTCTCAGAAAGGGACTGAAGACAACAACTGGTGATGACTAATAACTGACATTCAAATATAGTGAACAAGGCCCAGGTGGACCTCAAGTTCCCAATGTGGGAGGGGGCACAGCTGAGAACTGGCTGCAGAACAAATCTCACATGCTCCATGACTGCGGAAAAATTTGGGACTCAGGAAGAAGCTAGAGGTGCATAAGTAGAGTTACATGGAACAACCATTCCCACTTCCTTTTAGTTCAAGGGATATTAACAGAAAATATGAAAAAAGTCTAAGAACGAAACCACTAAAGTAAGTGCCCACTTGGTGCCTAGTTGGCCACAGACAGGATTTGTGGCAGCTGCTTTTTCACGGAGGACTTGGTCCCCTGGACTTAACAGGAACTCAGGGGACCTCCCTGGCAGTCCAGGGGTTGAGACTCCACGCTTCCAATGCAGGGGGTGCAGGTTCGATCCCTGGTCTGGTTACTCAGAACCCACAAGCCACATGGCACAGCCAAAAAAACACAAAAAACAAAAACAAAACGAGCTCAGCCAAGTCCATGCAAAGGCTATTGCTGCTGGGACCCCCACCCCTACCCCGGGGTGCAAGGCCAAGCCCCCACCCCCCACTCCAATCACCTGCTCTGAATGACCATACACTGATCTAATGCCATTCAAGCTCTGAGAAGGTGAGAGGCAGATCCAGGACCCAGACAAAAACAAAATGATGCAACGAGGAAGCAACATGTTGGGCAGCTGAAGCCAATTCACCCTTGGCACGGCCTGTCCTGGCCCCAGCAGAGGCCCAACCGACAGAGAACAGCGTTTTCTCAGCAGAGCAGCCCCATCCCGTGGGAGGAGGGCTGTGGCTGAGGTTCCCGTGGTCAAAGCTTCTGCCTGTGGGCATTTTGGTATCAAATCACCAATATTTAACTCCACTCTACAGAGGGCCTATGATGTTTAAGCTCAGGGTAAATAAGGTGTTTTGTTTTTCATTGCCCTAGGAATTCAGAATTTAAGCCTGCTATGAACAGGCAGATTTGGGGTAATGTGACCACGGTCCTTCATTGCTGTAGTAGTTGTTTACAGGACACTCTGAAATCCTGGAGAAGCTTTCTGGGAGAGGAATGCATTAAGCCTCCCAACCCATCTTCTCCTTTAGTGGTTACAAGGTGATCTCAGGTAGGGATGTGCCCAAGGTCACAAGGCAAGTGGCAGAACCAAGGATAGAACTCAGGAGAGCAGCCCTCTGAGACACACAGCTGATACCTGGCAGGAAGCATCGTGGAACTTGCTAACCTCGGCAAGCAGCACAGGTGCAGAGGAAGGGGGAACAGCTTTACTCTGGAGCGCGGCTGCCCCTGCCGTTCCTAGCCCTCAGCTCTCCTCTTTCTACTCTGCTCTGCCCAAGTGGAAACCCCAACACGCTTCTGAACCGTCCACCCTCCGAGGGGCTGGGGGCTCCCACAGGTCGCTGGGCCACCTTACCAGTGCTTGTGTTGGTGACGCCGTTCACTGTCCCCTCCACATCGGTCTCATCCTCAGCGTAGCTCAGAATCAGGCTCTGCTGCCGGCTTGTCAGTCTCCTGTGGACCGAGCACAGTCAGTGTCAGAGTGCTTCCTCTGGGCAGCTCTTTAAAGGACGTGGACGCGGCCAGTCCCCATGCAGCATGTGGGAAATGCAAGACCCGCAACCCAGGCACAGGACACACCCTGAATCCAAGAGCCCACGCCCTCAAAGCTTCCGTAAAATAAACCTCCTGAACTACCCTAACTTGTTCTAAACAACTGCCACTGTGGCTATGCTAAATAGTTTACAGGGGGGAACAAAATGGAAATGATCTAATTAAAGAGAGGGCTGGAAACCCAGTCCTCCCAAGTGGAGTCTGGCATGCCCTGCTCCGGATGCCCACAGCTCCCGGCTTGGACTTTTCTCCCAGACACCGCAGACATCACCCACCACTATCTGGTTATAGGTCTCTCCCACCAGATGGCAGGCAACCTGAGAACAATAATAACAAAATCAACAGCAGCAGCAATAGCTAAGCATTCCCTATGGGTTATTCCTTTAATCTTCCAGCAACTCAACGAGGTCGAGCTTTTGTATTACGTCCACTTTCAGAAGGAGCGCCCGGGCAGGAGACACTTGACTTAGAGCGAGAAGTAACCTGCCTAAGCCTCAGCACTTATGGCAGCAGAGTCACACAGGTCGGGCAGTCGGGCTCGGCGCTGAACCACCATGCCGCTCAGCACCAACTCAGCAGGTAAGAAGCCCTCAAGCGGCTCCTGCCCAGTGCTGAAAGCTGCAGAGATCGGGCGGGCCTCGCCACAGCTGAGCAGCACTTACTTTGGAACTCTGATCTTGATGTGAATGTAGTGATCTCCATAGCCATAGCTGTTAATCCGGGGGATGCCTTTCCCGCTCATGCGAATCTTCTGGTCTGACTGAGTCCCAGGGGGAATCTATAAAGAAAGAAAGGAATCTCTGGTTTTCCTTGGTTTCCAGTTGCCCAAATGAAAACATTTCACTATGTGAAGACAATCTTATTCCCAAAAAGAACTCCATTCAGGTTTCTAGACCAAACCCACCAGACACCACACGGAAACTGGCTAAGCCAGGTCCATCCCGAGCAGAGCCTGTGACGGCCTTGAGGGCAGGGAGTCTGGGGCGGCAAGCCCAGAGCAGGAGTGAGGGAGCATGGAGAGCAAGACCTGGGAGGAGGCAGAGCCAACTGGGGCACCACTGAGGCTGCTCCCCGGCCCGGCAGCAGTGGACATGGCCCGGGAGCTCCCTTCCCTGCCAAGTCACACCCAAGGCACAGCCAACACTCCTCCTTCCCCCCCACACCCAGCTTGTCTCCTCGAATCCCCGACAGGCTGGCTGTTCCCAGGTTCCAGCCACTTCTCAGCCATTTCCCGTTTCAGAAAAAAAGAACAAGGAAATACAAGGGTGGCGAGGCCACACTTGTCCTCTTACCATCACGTTGATGGTCTCATACAGGCCCTGCGCTCTGGCGGTGCCTCCCAGAATGGCCTGAGCTATGGAAATGAAGAGGTCGGAGTGGATGTCTGCACCGTCCCTCCGGAACACGGGGCTTTTCTGCACCTACAGCCAAGCACGAGAGGGGGTTACGCTCAGAGAAGTTGTTCTGGAGAGCGGGCAACAGACGCATCTCAGCAGCTCAGAGCACAGCGTCAGGGAGAGAATGTACTTTCACCAAAGCAACCACGCCCCCAGGCTCTGGGAGTTACAGGGCAGGTTCCTACTCCACTGCAATGCAAGAGTGTCATCTCAGATCAAACTGTTCAACTGTTGAGGGAAGTAAAAGAGTAAAATCAGCTTCTGAACATTAAAAAAATAAAAATCTTTATTGGAAAGTATAAAGAAACACAGACTAATACAATCTACAAAGGCGAAAACGGTTTACTTTCCAGAGTCATTTGGTACAAACTACCTTCAAGTCAGACTGACAATACTGGAATTATTCTGATTTTATAAGCACTATTTTTTGTGTGTCAAAGACGTTCTTTGCCTTCCAGTGATTTCTTCTTTTTTTCTTCTCTATCATCAGCTGCGAACAATCTGAATTCTCTACCAAGCCTTCCTTATAGATTGGCTTCCAGCCCGCTGCCTTTGTCTTCGATTTCTCAGTCTAAAAGGCTCACCCTTTACATTATTTTTTTGTTTTAAATTATAAAATATTTCACATATACGTAAACCAGCAAAGTAAATAACACACGGTGTTTCCACAACCCAGCTTAGGTAACAGAACATTAGGACACAGGTGACTTCTCCCCACCTCCAGCTCACCCCTCCAGAGTAACCAGGCCAATTTAGTAGGTATCATTCCTACAAGCATCTGTTTACTTTTCCTACATGTTTACATGCCCCTAAACAATACATAACACCACCTCACATGGTTTAAAGTTTTACACAGATGACCTCCTTCCCTCGCCCTGCAAGCTGCTCTCTCCCTGTTCGTAACTGAGAAGTCCCAGGACATCTCATGCTGACATGTGTAGCGCGAGCCTCCTGCTCTGAGGTGCCCTGGGCCCACAGTGCAGACCACTCACCATTCTCCTCTCCAAGGACAGCAGACTGTTGTCACTGTCTCGCTGTTGTTAACGAGGCTGTCACACACCCTGCCTCTGCGAACTGCACCTCCTTGGGTACACGTCTGGTGGAATCGCTGGCAGAAGGCGCCACCTCCTCTCATGTTTCCCTCACCTCAGAAAAGTGGGTTTGCCCTGCACATTGTACGTAAAACTGTAGCTGTGGCACTGTTTGTCCCTATGAACAATTTGATACATAAAAAATACAAGATGTTTTCTGTATTTTTATGAGTCCAACTTGTAAACACCTCGAGGAAACTTTGTTCTCTCCACATTTAGCACAAAAGCTTGATGTAACACACGTTTAATCACCCTGTCAAAGTGGCCACTGCTCATCTTGGAAACTCAGATGGCCAGACACTCTGTGAAGCTCCTACCTCTCCTATGAGAAGCCTGGGCCGTACCCTCTCCAGGAGAGCAAGGGCCTGACAGAAGCTGTGCAAACAGAGAACCTACCCTGAATGTGATGAAAATTTCTCTTTTTCCTACAGGCATCCTCACAGTCTGGCCATCCTCGACTCCTGTAAGTAAAAACAAAAGTTCAAAAGAGAACGATTATTTTGGGACCTCCCAAGGCATTTTCTATGCTAGATCCATTTACAACCCACCAACTTACTCTTTTCTGTTTCCTGTTAACAAGGAATAACACAACTACCGAAGATAGCAACAAGTATAACTTAAAACAAGAATAACTTTCCAAAGGTGCAACATACAATAATTGATAACTGAACAAAAGCCCCTTCTATTCATTTCTTCGGTTTACTGCCAGGTCCACCTCGTATCTCAGTGAGTTTAGAGTCTAATCGGGGTGACAGCTATTAGCCAAATAACAATACTAACAAATGTATCGCTACAAACAGAGACGTGTTCTTAGAAAGAAAAGATCACAGCTCCAGACAAAGGAACATCTAAGGAACAGGGAGGGTTCCAGAAGGCTCCCCTGGGGAAGTGACACTTGAGCTGGGAGCTCCGGGAGAACAGAGTTAACCTACTGAAAAGAAGGTGGACAGTGAGCTTCAGTCACCGGGGAATGGCGTATGCAAAGGCTCTGTTCTGGGAGGCAGGGGCTACGTGAAAGTCAGGAAGCTGCAGGGCAGGTAATGAGGGGGAGACTAAAAAGAGCGGAGGCTGAGACCAGCAGGGGCTGGAAGGGGAGGCCATTTCTCGGCCCCTGAGAGTCACTGCAGTGTCTTCAACAGGATGAGAGACATGACCAGACCACACAGTGGAAACACTACCCTAGGAACAGGAGCCAGTTAGGGAGAGCAGGCACAAGCTGGCCCTGGAGGCAGGAGGAGGGGGTGGTGTTGCCCGCTGGGCTGTCAGTGGGGACGACATTGGCCTTGGGACAGAAGATGGAGGAGATGGGGGAGTCCTTCACACAGAAGCAGAGCGGTCACATCGGGTTCCATCTCCCCACATGACATGGGTGCAGATTTTAAGGATAACTGGTGCAGTGGAAAACGCAAGGAGACTCTGGTTCCTCCTCGAGTTTGGGCTCCAGAAACAAGGACACGATGGCCCCGGCTCCCAGCCCCTGTGCGTGGAGGAGCCCCAGACCCACCGGCAGGCACAGGGATCACCACCTTCTTCTTCTGCTTGGCTTCTCCTGCTCCTCTGCACACCACACAAGGAGACGTGATGATGGAGCCCCGGCCACCACACCTCCGACATGTGGAGCGCATCACAAAAGGGCCTGTATTTATGGTTTCCTGATAAAAAGAAGAAAAATGGGAGCCTTAGACACCGGTAAACCCTGACAGCGAGGTCCTGGGACCACAATGTGCACGAGAAACATTTCACCAAAGATTCACGTGTTGCGTGCACATGCGCTAAAACATACTGCCGAAAGACACAGGTGCAGGAGCTCAAACTGTTAATCTGACTTAGAGCGCACCGACTTCTGAATCCCAAACCACAAACCTGATTATATGAGGCTGAAAAATGAGATGCTGCCTCTCTACAGAAGTTCCCGAAACTCCTGGGAGCTGAGCAAATATGCTTTAAAAAGAGTACCCCCCCCCATTACAAAAGGGACAGCTGGGAAAGCAGAGAAAGAAAGAGGAAAGTGATGACTGGATGCAACCCCCACCCAGAGCTGCCATTGCCCACTCCAAGGGAGAAGCAGCACTGGCCTCTCTGTCTCCCAGGGCCCCCCCACTGTCCCCAGCCCCCATCACAGGTACCCTGGGAGCAAGGAGGCAAGCTGCTCCTCTCGCAGGTACTGGTGCTGCTCATGCTCCCACCCAGGGGTCTCTTCTTCCCCACCCCCCCCCAGCCCCTCCCACCCCAGTCCTCCAGGAGCCTCCCCGGCTCCCAGCCCCTCGCACAGCTGGTGGGGCCTTACAATTTGTGGCCACTCCCATCAGCTCCTCACTGGGCACTGGAAATCGGTTACCTTTTTATTTAACCTAACATCCTTGGGGGTTTTTTTCTTGGTAAATTATCAAATACCTGTTGTTATAGCAAATCAAAGGATACAAACATATATTAAAAAAATTATTAATCTCCCCCCTCATCGTGATTCCCAAGGTGACCAGCTCTTGGTAGCTCAGTTTGAGGTGTTCTTTCCCACAACTCGCTCACTCACTCTCTCTTTCTCTCCATAAAAAACTTTTTAAGTAAAAATTTTATAATGACAATATATTATACTATCGCTCTGCAACTTGCTTTCCCTTTCATCTTCATGATACATCATGAACATTCCTCCAGACCAATATATATAGATTTCAATTTCCATTTTAATATTTAATTTTTGTTTCGGTGAAGAAAAAAATCTCTTCACATAGATCCTTCTGTTCTGATGTCTTAATTCTTTTTTCTAAGACAGATTCCCAAAGGTGGACTTGCTAGGACAAATATTTATTAAAATTAAAATTTTATGTGCTAGGTACTTCCCTGGTGGTCCAGTGGCTAAGACTCCCAATGCAGGGGGCCCAGGTTCGATCCTTGGTCAGCGAAATAGATCCCGCACACCGCAACTAAGAGTATGCATACCGCAACTAAAAATCCCGCATGCCGCAACTAAGACCCGACACAGCCAAATAAATAAATAAATAAAAAGACTTTTTAAAAAATACAATACAATTTTATGTGCTATATTTATTTGAAAAGGTCCTACGTGCGTATGGTACAAAATTCTAAAGTAGGGACTTCCCTGGTGGTGCAGGGTTAAGAATCCCCCTGCCAATGCAGGTTCAAGCCCTGGTCCGGGAAGATCCCACATGCCGCAGAGCAACTAAGCCCGTGCGCCACAACTACTGAAGCCCATGCGCCTAGAGCCCATGCTCTGCAACAAGAGAAGCCACTGCAATGAGAAGCCCATGCACCACAAACAGAAATAGCCCCCGCTCACCGCAACTAGAGAAAGCCCATGTGCAGCAACGAAGACCAAACATAGCCCAAAATAAGTAAATAAATAAATTTATTTAAAAAAAAATTCTAAAGTAAAAAATGAAGGTACGGTGAAAAGTTAAATGTCCCCCTCACCCCTGGCCCCTAACCATTCCAAGTACCTTCCATAGATGCACAGCTGTAGTGATATACTTGTGTATCCTACTTTTACAGACACACATTTCAAGCCATCCATCTGTGCATTACAAGTTTTCAATAAGCCCAGGTAGCATACTGTGCACACAGTTCTGTGGCTTTTGCTATTTTGTTTTTAACAATTTAATAATCTCAGAGAGCACTCCTCATCAGTGTATTTTTCAGACAACTCACTCCTGGTGGTCACTGAGGCTGTCCAGTCCTTTCTTATTACACACAGGCTCCAAGGGACACCCTGTACATGTGCTATTTTCCAGGTGTGATCTATAGGCTACATCCCCACAGAGAGAGGCATATGTGCAGGTGAACAGCCACTGCAGCTGTGGCCAGGGTGGTTTCCACATCCACCATCAGTGCACACGAGTGCCACGTCCCACAAGCCTGTCAGCAGGGCCTGAACCCATCTCTGAAATGTGTGGCGAACTTCAGGCATCTCCTTGGCTCCACCTGCACTTCCCTGATCGCCAGCAAGAAACATTTGCTGGTCACTTGCATTTCCTCTTCTCACCTTGATCTGTTTTTCTAATGAGCTGTTAGTCTTTTTCTCAATATTCTGAAAGAGCCCTTTACATATTAGGAATACTAATCCTTTAGCTATGTCTTGCAAATTTTTTTCCCCAATCTCAAACATTACATTTTGAGAGAAATACACTTCAGCTTGTCTTATCTCAATGTTCACCTAAGAAATGTGAAAAAAGAAAGTCATAGCAATTCATGGCCTTGGAGAAAGGACCTTAGAAGTGAGAGGGAATTAGGATCAATAAAAAGTATCTGTAGGGAATTCCCTGGCAGTCCAGTGGTTAGGACACGGAGCTTTCACTGCCGAGGGCCCGGGTTCAATCCCTGGTTGGGGAATTAAGATCCCATAAGCTGCCTGGCGCAGCCAAAAATGAAATAAAATAAAAAATAAAATAAAAAGTATCTGTAACAAGTGGCAGCAACTCAACTCACAAAACTGTAACCACAGGAATCCTCATCCTCTCCAAGAGCGCCCTCTAGAGGAATGTAAGCACAACTTCACTTTCTCAGACTAAGCTGTAGGAGTATTTACAGGTAACTCTGGGCACACCCATCAGTGGACTATTATTTAGCCATCAAAAAGAATGTTTAAAAATATTCAAAGATATGGAAAAATGCTTTCATTATAATAAATGAAAAAAGGGAAAAATTGCATGTATGATTCTGAACGTTGAAAATTATATACAAATAGGCAAAAATATATTCAAAGTCAAAAGACAAATACAACTAAAATCATTGGCAAAGGACTAATTCAATTAATTTATAAAGGGCTTCTACAAATGAATAAGAAAAAGACCAATTACTCAATACAAAGAAGGACAAAAGATGGAATACATGCAAAAAAACAATGGCTCTCAAATCTTAGAAAAGATATTCTACTTCACACGTAATAGATACCTGTATATTCAAAAAATGAATATGAGGAATGACACTATTCAAAGGTATCCGTTGTCTATAACATGAAAAAAATATGAACCACCTAGGCATCCAGCAACAGGGGCCTGCCTAAACAAACGGTGATGTGTCCATATAAAGGAATACCGTGGCCATAAGAAGACTGAAGCAGGGACTTCCCTGGTGGCGCAGTGGAATGATGGGGACACATCAAAAGAATACAGGAGCCAGCCAGAAGACACTTCCACAGGCCAAGTCAGGGACAGTTTGAGCATCAAAGTAAGTAATACTAATGACAGCTCAGTGAATAAAATAAGAATCCATGAGTTCATACTGATATGAATGAAAGAATGAATAAATAAATGGAGAAGAGAAAGCTCTTCCTTTCAGTAGAATGACAATAAACAAAGAAGGGATGTTGCAATCAGAAAAGCACCATTTAGGGAGATTGGGATTGACATATATACGCTAATATGTATAAAAAAGATAACTAATAAGAATGTGCTGTATAAAAAAATAAATAAAATAAAATTCAAAAATTCCAAAAAAACCCTTAAAAAACAAAAAAGAAAATCACCATTTAGCAACAGTCACAATAATCCCTGATTTAGGCAAGACTGATCCATGGATGCTGTAACTATTGGGTATAAGTTTGATGAGGAACAGGATATTTATATAGTGTCAAGGTACCTCACAACTTCCTTGTTAATTTCAATGGGAAAAATAATAAACTTTATAATGAAGAAACCCGGTGGACACTACCTTAACTGATTGTGAACAAATGTAACATCACCACTAATGAGACAAACTGACACCTCATGACTCCTGACATGATCCATGAAAAGGGTACTACATGTCTGGTGTTTCTGCAAAAAATGCATAATCTGAATTTTATCAGGATAAAACATCAGATGACCTAAATGAGGGACATCCTACAAAGCAGGTCTGTAATCCTAAAAAATGTCAGTTGTCATAAAAGAAAGACTGAGAAGTCATTCCCGATTAAAGGAGACAAAAGATATGACAACCAGATACTATGCAAGATCACAGACTGGATACTGGGCTTGTGGAAAAAAAGAACATTATAAGGACAACTGAAAAAATCTGAATTGTACAGATAATGGTATTGTATCAACATTAAACTTCCTGATTTTGACAACTTACTGTGGTTACGTAAAAGAATATTCTTGCTCTTAGCAAATATATACCATAGGGACTTCCCTGGTAGCCCACTGGTTAAGACTCCACACTCCCAATGCAGGGGGCCCAGGTTCGAACACTGGTTGGGGAACTAAGATCCCACAAACCACAACTAAGTTCGTGTGCTGCAACTACTGAGCCTGTGCACTCTAGAGCCCAAACGCCGCAACTAGAGAAGCCCACGTGCCACAACAAAGAGCCCGCGCAGCCAAAAAAAAAATACACACACACACACACACACACACACACACACACACACACACGTACACACCACAAATGACAAAGCAAATGGGACAAAATGTTAACAATTGGTGAAGCTGGGTAGAAGGAGTAAGGGAGTGGTTCTTCATACTATTCTATAAGTTTGAGTTATACCTGAAACTTACCAAAAAGAAAAAAATGATCACACTTCAAGCAAAATTTAAGTCCCCCTCCCCTACCCCAGGTTCAAATTATCAAAATACCCCACAATGTATTTTCAGAGAAGACAGCAGAGTTTCATTGCTTCTTCTGTATTGTTGATTAGGACAGAGCACTCCTGGGAAAATGCAGAAGATTCTAGATAAAACAGTCCCACCTAGTTATGAGCTCTCAAAGCCCTAGGTCCATTGGAGCACAGAAAAGAGGAGTGGTGGAGGGGAGCAGGAAGCGGGCAAGAGGTGGGAGGCCAGGGCCTCGGCCTCACGCTCACCATGCCGGAGCCACCGCAGTAGTGGCAGTGCTGCATCTTGGTGCCGGGCTCGTTCCCTTTGCCACCACACCGCTCACAGGTATCAGTGATGTTCACGGTGAACTCCTTGTTGACACCCTTGGCAGCTTGATTGAATGTCAACTCCATGATGTACTAAAGAAATCAAGGGACCGCCTGTTATCTCTCTTAAAGTAAGGGAGAGCACTGCCCAGCAGTTTACAGTTACTTTTTCTTTTAAAGACTTTATTTTTTAAAGCAGTTTTAGGTTTACAAAATTGAGAAGGAGGTATAGAGATTTCCCACATACCTTTGCCCCCACACATGCACAGCATCCCGTTATCAACATCACTCACCAGAACGGTATTTATTTTATCAAGGATAAACCTACATTGACACAACATAATCATCCAAAGCCCACAGTTTACATTAGGGTTCACTCTTGGTTTTGGATATTCTATGGGTCTGAACAAATGTATAATAACATGTATCCTCACCATAGTTTCATGCAAAGTATTTTCACTGCCCTAAAAATCCTATGCTCCACCAATTCATCTGTTCCCCTAGTTACTTTACTTTTTAACCTACTTGTACTTTATCAAGCAAGAATAGATGGGACTCAACTGATTCTGCCCTAGTCCTCAGAATTTTTAAGAGATAATATTTAAGTGAAAATGTACTTTTCAACAAACTGAAAATGCTCACAGAAAATATTTGTACATGGTCCTTCCTAACAACTCAAACGATCCACAATCATAACTCACATCATAAAACAACTCCCCTCTCTCTTCAATTCTGATAATGTCTGAAACAAGACATAAATATGGAAGAGGCAGGACTGGCAGTAGCTCCCTATGGATTGAGCTCTCCTAGAATAATGAGGCAGGCTCTAGATAAAATATTCACACTCTAACTATGGACTCTGAGAGCCTTAGGTGTTGCTGGATTAAGCAACTGTAAGAATATAGTAAAACTGTATGTACACATTATTATATGATTTTTCAAATACTGGAACCATTTCCTACCAAGATGGCTGCCTCCAAATCATCCCATTTAAGCTGCTTTAGCTTTTTCTTTGAGAAAAAGAATTGGTAAAATCCGTTTGCATCACACTTGGCAGCTAAAATTTGAATGATTCTTCAAAATGAGATGCTTACCTCCTGGGGCTGATGGAACACACTCTGGAAGTCTCCAAAAGAGGAGGATGAGAACTCCCCAAAGATCTTCCTGAAGAGCTCCTCAGGGTCAACAGTGGGGCCTCCTTTCCAGTAGCTCTGCCCAGAGCTGCTGGCCCCAGGATCGAAGCCAGCAGAGCCATAGGTGTCATACTGCTTCCTCTTCACTTCATCACTCAGGACCTACCGTGAAAGGCACAGCAGTCAGGTGCTCCTGAGTCTCCCAAGGTCCAGGGACACACACACCAAGCACAGACAGTGGTATTGAATCAACATAAAATTTCCTAATCTTGACAGCTGTACTGAAGTTATGGAAAAGAATGTTCTTGTTCTTAGCGAATACACACAGAAGTACTTAGGGATAGAAAGACACCACGTCTGCGACTTATTCTCGAATGGTCGGGGGGACGCACACTTGCGCACGCACACGCACACGCACACACACACACAAACACACACACAGAGCAGACGTAGGATATCCTACATATCCTGAACCCCTTCAGCACGGCCGAAGTCCAGGAAGGAGGTCCGCTTTCACTTAACTCTGCAATGCTCAGTGGCTGTTTCATGTCCGCTTCATCCCCCTGATTACATTCTACATTCCTCTAGGGCAGTGGTGGTCTACTTTTATAACACCCACCATCCCCACCAGACAGTGATGCCCTAAGTTAGGGATGGGAGGGGTCATCAAATAGGCACAAAACTGTTTACTCTGACAAGGAGTTCCGAGACCCAGCTACAAGTCCGAGTGGAGGGAGCTCTGTTAACACAGATTATTGGATCCTGTTCTTTGATGAGATTCCAAGTTAGATCTAATGTGAAAATTTTGGATCTGGGAATTTTTTTTTTCCTTCAACGAGGTGATCTTGTGGGGAACACAGCCTTCCCACTGGACCTTCTGACACAGCGATTGCCCTGGGCAGCGAGCTCTGATGCACACACACAGCGGAATGACAGTGACTCCACACACCGGTGGGCTGCATTACCTCATAGGCCTCTGCCAGCTGGGAGAACTTCTCCTTGGCTTTGGGATCATCCTTATTCGTGTCTGGGTGATATTTCTTGGCGAGCTAAGGGAGGAAATGGTAAATTACTATGGACACAAGATGATTACTAAAACTGAACCCCAGATACCAGTTACACCTCACCTCCTTTGTAGCAGTTGTCTGAGACTTTACAACCAATAGCAATTCTTAAAACAAGGTTTAAGACTTTAAAATAAACCACCTCTAACTAGACTTACTGTGATGATCATTTCAGTGTATGCAAATGTTGAGTCATTATGTTGTATACCTGAAACTAACATGTCAATTATACCTCAATAAAAACAAACTAAAAGCAAAGCACAGCCAGAATTAAGAACATACACATTGTGTTCAGCTTTCAAATTTGATCAAAAGTTTATTACAAAATGACAAACTGAATTTTGGGAAAGAGAAATAAATAAATAAATAAATAAAACTCTCTCTTCAAATCTGAGGTGTGTATACATTTTTCAACCACAACAAATCTCTAACAAAAAAAAAAACAAACTAATTCTTTAGAACTTGAGCACCTTTGTGAAAGATGCAAAAGAGTGTATCTGGTAGACTACCATCTATATAAAAAGAGAGAAAAATAACTGGATAGATAAATAGCTGTATCTGTTGTATAAATTAGTTAGAACATACACTAAGCTGAAAACACTGACTGCTCCAGGAGGGATGTGGATGAATGGGAAGGAGGGAAGACTTCTCACTGTACACTCCTTTGTACTTTTTGATTTCTGAACCAGGGGAATATATTACCTACTAAAAACACACATTTAAATATTAAAAAACAAAACAAGATCTCCCTTGGCTGTCCAGAGCACAGAGGCGAGCTGAGCAGCTCTAAATGAAGGTTTCTTCTTGGCCATGCTTAGCAGTGCTGTGTGACACCTTTGTAGGTGTTCACTATGTTTGCTACAGCTACTGATGCCTTCCAAGTCTGGGTCACCCTGATGGAGGGTGAGGAGGGCACAGAATCCTAAAGCTGAAAGCGACTCAGGAGACGTCTGGCTCCACCACTGCCGGCAACTGGCTGCTCACTTTGCTGCTGGACATGCTGGTCCTCACACCAGCACGTGGAAGGACGTCGGAGGCTGAGTGCTCAGCCAGAAGGGGGCCCTCAAGGTAGGGCAGTAGATCACGGTGGGCCACAAGGCTAGTTCCAGGCCAGGGCAAGATATACTCATGAGATCAGCACAAGTAAAAGAGAGGCCTTTTGCAGTCAGAAAGACCTGTGTTTTAGTTTTATATATGCCACTTATTGACTGTGTGGCCTCAGCTGCATGTCATAACCTCGCCAAGTCTTTTGCCATGAGGATTAAATGATGTAACACATGAAAAGCTTTTATCAATGTCTGACCCCAGTTATTGCTCCATAAAGCCTACTTTCTAAATTTCCGGTTTTAAATTACACAGCTAGGGCTTCCCTGGTGGCGCAGTGGTTGACAGTCTGCCAATGCAGGGGACACGGGTTCATGCCCCGGTCTGGGAAGACCCCACATGCTGCGGAGCGGCTGGGCCCGTGAGCCATGGCCGCTGAGCCTGCACGTCTGGAGCCTGTGCTCTGCAGCAGGAGAGGCCACAACAGTGAGAGGCCCGTGTACCGCAAAAAAAAAAAAAAAAAAGAATGTAAATTACACAGCTTTACCTGATCTATTTACTTCCACACCTAAAAACTTGGATGGTTCCCTACTCTCTCTTAAATTAAATCTCTAGTACTTGCTAAGGGCCTCACATGCCCCCTTAAGTTGGCCCCAGGCTCCATCTCTCCAATCTTCTCCCACCCTTGTATCAGGTACCTTACCTTCCAGCTCAAGAGACACACTATTCACTATCCCAAGACAGGATCTCTGCTTCCTATCCCCAAGTCTTTCCTCATTCCCTAACAACCCAGTAAATAAAAAGATATCTCAATTTAAAAATGGGCAAAGGATCTAATACACATACAGCAAATGGCCAAAAATCACATGAAAAGGTGCTTAACATCATTAGCCACCACGGAAAAGCAAATCAAAACCACAGTGAGATACCACTTCACACTCACTAGGGTGGCTTGAATCAAAAAGACAGATAACAAGTGTTTGCGAGGATGTGGAGAAATTTGAACCTTCACACACCACTGGTGAAAATCTAAAACAGTGCAGCCTGCTTGAAATAGTCTGGCACTAGAAATAAACCCACACACCTATGGTCAATTAATCTATGACAAAGGAGGCAAGAATATACAATGGAGAAAAGACAGACTCTTCAATAAGTTGTGCTGGGAAAACTGGGCAGCTACGTGTAAAAGAATGAAATTAGAACATTCTTTAACACCATACACAAAAATAAACTCAAAATGGATCAAAGTCCTAAATGTAAGACCGGACACTATAAAACTCCTAGAGGAAAACATAGGCAGAACACTTTTTGACATAAATCGCAGCAATATCATTTTGGAACCATCTCCTAGAGTAATGGAAATAAAAACAAAAATGGGGCTTCCCTGGTGGCGCGGTGGTTGAGAGTCTGCTTGCCTATGCAGGGGACACGGGCTCGTGCCCCGGTCCGGGAAGATCCCACATGCGGCGGAGCGGCTGGGCCCGTGAGGCATGGCCGCTGAGCCTGCGCGTCCGGAGCCTGTGCTCCACAACGGGAGAGGCCACAACAGTGAGAGGCCTGCGTACCGCAAAAAAAAAGAAAAAAAAATCTACAAATGGGAAATAATTAAACTTAAAAGCTTTTGAACAGCAAAGGAAACTAAACAAAATGAAAAGACAACCTACAGAATGGGAGAAAATATTTGCAAACGATGCAACCGACAAGGGATTAATTTCCAAAACATATAAACAGCTCATACAGCTCAATATCAAAAAAACAAACAGCCCAATCAAAAAATGGGCAGAAGATCCAAATAAACATTTCTCCAAAGAAGTCATACAGATGGCCAACAGGCACATGAAAAAATGCTCAACGTTGCTAATTATTAGAGAAATGAAAATCAAAACTACAATAAGGTATCATCTCACACTGGTCAGAATAGCCATCATCAAAAAGTCTACAAAAAATAAATGCTAGAGAAGGTGTGGAGAAAAAGGAACCCTCCTACACAGCTGGTGGGAATGTAAATTGGTACAACCACTATGGACAACAGTATGGAGGTTTCTTAAAAAACTAAAAACAGAGTTACCATATGATCCAGGGATCCCACTCCTGGGCATATATCCAGAGAAAACTATAATTCAAAAAGATACATAAACCCCAACGTCTACTGCAGCACTATTTACAATAGCCAGGACATGGAAGCAACCTAAATGTCCACTGACAGATGAATGGATAAAGAAGATATGGCTTATATATATATATAATGGAATATTAGTCATAAAAAGAGAATGAAATAATGCCATTTGCAGCAACACGGATAGACTTAGAGATTATCATACTAGGCGAAGTAAGTCAGACAGAGAAAGATAAATAACACATGATATCACCTATATGTGGAATCTAAAAAAAAAGATACAAATGAACTTATCTACAAAACAGAAGTAGACTCACAGACATAGAAAACAAACTTATGGTTACCAAAGGGGAAAGGGGAGAGGGAGGGATAAATTAGGAGTTTGGGATTAACATATACACACTACTATATATAAAATAGATAACTAATAAGGACCTACTGTATAGCACAGGGAACTATACTCAATATCTTGTAATAACCTGTAAGGGAAAAGATCTGAAAAAGAATAGATATATATAATTATGTATAACTGAATCACTTTGCTGTACACCTGAAACTAACAACAGTGTAAATCAACTATATTTCAATAAAAGAAAAAAAAGAAATAGCCTGGCTGTTCCTCAAAATGTTAAACATGGCAATCGGAATTGCTATGAATTGACCCAGCAAGTCTGCTCCTAGGTATATGTATATACCCCAGAGAAATGAAAGTATAAGTCTACACAAAACTTACAGAGGAATGTTCATAGCAGCACTACTCATGATAACAAAAAGGTGGAAACAATCCAAATATCCATCAAATGATGAATAGATAAATAAAACACAGTATATCCATGCAATGGAATATTATTTGACCACTAAAAGGAATGAAGTACTGCTGCATGTTACAACATGGATGAACCTGGAAAACATTATTCTAAAGTAAAAGAAACCATGGGACTTCCATGGCAGTCCAGTGGTTAAGACTCCGCGCTTCCACTGCAGGGGGTGCAGGTTAGATCCCTGATCAGGGAACTAAGATCCCACATGCCACATGGCGTGGCCAGAAAAATAAAAAATAAAGAAAAACAAACCAGTCACAAAAGTCCACATATCACATGATTTCATTTCTATGAAGTGTCCAGAATAGGTAAATCTATAGAGACAGAAAGTAGGTTAGCAATTTCAAGGGCAGAGGAGAATGGGGAATAAGGGCTTATGGTGTGGGGTTTCTTTTTGAGATATGAAAATGTTTTAAAATTGATTGTAGTGATGGTTATACAATTCTATGAATATACTAAAAACCAGTGAACTGCACCCTTAAAAAAAAAAAAAAGTAAGAGAAGAAAGTAGCTATCCAAGCTATAAGGTCTGGTCTTGATCAGTATTTGGCTTTAAAAAAAGTTTTTTTTCTTTTTGGCCGCGCCGCTCAGCTTGCGGGATCTCAGTTCCCCAACCAGGGACCGAACCCAGGCCACGGCAGTGAAAGTGCCGAATCCTAACCACCAGACCACCAGGGAACTCCCAGTAATTTTTAAAATTTAAATTGTATTTAATTTATTAATTTTATTAAATTTTAATCTTCTTGAAGAGATGGGAACATATGTATATGTATAACTGATTCACTTTGTTATAAAGCAGAAACTAACACACCACTGTAAAGCAATTATACTCCATTAAAGATGTTAAAAAATTTTTTTAATCTTCTTTATTCTGATATGGCTTTCCTATGTTTATGGTGTTAAAGTGCTCTTTCTTTCATCAAATGACATTAATAGATTGTACTTGATTATTTTTAACACCTATATTAGGCAAAATACAAAAGCTAGCATTCCTACATCGGCGCCCTTGGTCTTTAATTTTTTTTTTTATTTTGATTGTGTTCATCAGAGCAAAAGCCTGGAAACCACAGGTCTAGATAACTCACATGCCACTTTACCAATCAGCCCAATACATTCCGGGATATGGATGATGGGTTAAAAAAATGAAATAATTCTAAACCCATAAACTTTTATCTAAATGCAAAGAATGAGTACCTAAAACTTAGAGCAGCACACCTACTGACTCAGAAGATACAGAAGAGATTTAAGTACAAAAACAGCCCTGGAAAAAGATTTTTTTTTTTTTTTTTGCGGTACGCAGGCCCCTCACCGCCGCAGCCTCTCCCATTGCAGAGCACAGGCTCCGGACGTGCAGGTTCAGTGGCCATGGCTCACGGGCCCAGCCACTCCACGGCATGCGGGATCCCCCCAGACCGGGACACGAACCCGCGTCCCCCGCATCGGCAGGCGGACCCCCAACCACTGCGCCACCAGGGAAGCCCAAGATTTTTTTTTTTTTTTTTTTTAATCTCTGGTTCTGACTCTCCTTTTTTCTACAGCATTAACCAGTGTGGCCTCACGCACTTGAGGAACATGGTTCAGCAGAGCCCATCTTTACCATCTCATTCCACACTCTCGGCTGCACATAACCGACAGGTACGGGCACACACACTGCACCCGTCAGGGTCACACTACATCCACAGCATCCCTTCTGCAGTCTTGTCTGTAAAATCTTCCATACAGACCTGGTAATAAGCTTTCTTGATCTCCTTCTGGCTGGCACTTCGGGGCACTCCTAATATCTGGTAATAATCCTCTTTGGCCAAAGGGGCGCTCGTGTGGAAGGAGGCAGTACAAAGAAAAGGGTAACTTTTTACTCCTAAAAAAGAAAAAAGGAAAGAAAATCACTCTGGGAATGTACTCAACAAAAGGAAATTGTGAGCAAACAACCAGCCAGGCTATACCTGTGAAGGAGCAAAGAGGTCACAGCTTTAGGGCCTCTTCTCCTCCAAGCCCACTGGGGACCAAACTCACTGCACTTCAAAAGCAGCTAAAGCCACTGTAAACGGAGTCTACAAAAAAAAAAGTGCTGGGTGGGGCTGATTCTGCTGGATTACACTAGGGCTGTAGCCTCATTATACCTCTAAAGGAACCACCCCCAGATGGGGGCTGCACCTGGGGATGACTGAAAAGGAACAAAGCTCTCCTGTTACACGGCTGGCCGAGCACCCACCATATGCCAAGTGTTCACATAGGCCTTGTCTCACTTAAAGCTTAACGACTCCCAGGTTCTTTCCCTCCACCATGCAACCTTGGATATCTGCTTATGGGGTGGTTTTCAGAGTGTGGTCCCTGGACCAGCAGCATCATCAGCTTGCTGGAAATGTAAATTCTCAGGCCCCACCCAAACCTGAATCCAAAACTCTGGAGGTGGGGTCCAGCAAGCTGTGTCTAACAAGCCCTCCAGCTGATGATTCTGTGGCACACTCAATTTGAGAACCACTGTGCTAAATAAATGGTTCTTGGTCTTTAGAGTCACAGATCTCTTTGAAAGCATCGACCCCTCCCCTAAAAACAATACATATATATAGACACACAAGGTTAAACGGCCCTGTGCCAGAACCTCTGTTTACCCCAGAGCAGACAACCCAAAAGGGATCAAAGCACATGGTAGCCCCGCCTCCATGCCCTGCCCTCCTTTCAGGCCTCCTGCATCAGAAGCTGGGAGGAAAGGCTGACAGACACATCTACTCAACTGCCCTCTGTATGGAGCAGCGAGCCAACTGGACTGTCACCAAGTGAAGGGGGGAGAGCTGCTCTACAACCTGCCTCCTAACCCCCAACCTATCCTGTGACAACTGAAGATGGGGAGCGCAGGGATGGGAGCAGAAGGCGCCAAGTTATTGCAAAAGAGAGGGCAGGGCCACAAAAGAGAATGAGGATCATGAGGCAGCTCCAGGTTTTTAAGTCAAAGGTTCCCCTGCCAAGGAGAAGCTTCTAGATTCACCACTCATTCATTCAGCAAACATGCCTGCCAGGCACTGGGCTCCTCGCAGGAGACACAGCACGATCTTAATACTACTAGGCAATGAGGATACAAGTCTAAGCCAATGCCCTCGAGGAGCTTACCGCCCAGCAGGGGTGTGTGGGAGGCAGTGTGTGAAGTGATATGAGCACACAGGGACACAGAGTAAGAATACACAAAAGGGTCACCTAGCCAGAGTCTCTCCGCCTCCACACTGTTGACAACGGGATCAGGTTCCTCGTGGGAGGGGGAGGGGGGGGGCTGTTATGGGCTGAATTGGGTCCTCCCTCCCAAATTCACATGTTGAAGTCCTAACCCCCAGCACTGCAGAACATGACTGTATTTGGAGATGGGGGTCTTTAAAGACAACCCTACCAAAACATTGATCTTGGAATTTTATAGCTTCCCGAACTGTGAAAAAATAATTTTCTGTTTTTTTAAGCCACTTAGTCTGTGGTACTTAGTTATGGCAGCCCTGTTATCTATTTATAGCCTAACATACCTATGTATTTATTGTAGGATGTGTTAGCAGCATCCCTGGCCAACTAGTTATCAGTAGCAACCCCCAACCCCAAACTGGTAACTAAAACTGCAGATGTTGCCAGATGTCTCCTGGAGGGTAAAATCATCCCCAGGTGAGAACCAGTAAACCCAATCTCAGAAATTCAGAGGTCTTCTAAGGCACTTGCTGTTAAGCTGCAGAAATTAGCTCAGCTAAGGAGGGCTGGAATCCATCCAGATTTATGCCTGTAGTCCTGGCACTGTTTGCAATAGCATCCCCTTTTGCTTTCAAAAGTGCTCCATTCAGCAACTACATCATATGATCACCTTTGGTTTGGAGAGAGAAAGTGCTTGTGTAACTGCAGGTACTATGATATAACTAGAGATTCGAGTGTGTGTGTGTGTGTGTGTGTGTGTGTGTGTGTGTGTGTGTGTGTTTGGTGGTGGTGGTGGTGGTGGTGGTGGTGGTGGTGGTAGAGGGGTGGTTACAGATGTTGATGAGGATGATAATTAATAGGGCCTAGGAATAAACAGAAGGGCCTTTGAGTATGCTAAGGAGTCTGGATTTTATCCTGAGGGCAATAGGGAGCCACTGCAAGCATTAAACAGAGAACTGATCAGATTTGCATGAGAAAGAGCTCTCAAACAATAACAAGGATTGGGAGACAACTTAAAATTCATGTATGCACAAAAGACAACCCAGGGTGTGGAGCATATCCAGGAAGGGGTCAAGAAAAAGGAAAATCAGGAGAATAAGTAGGAATGGTCAGAACGAATGATAAAATCAGAAGCAGAAAGTAAATCCGTATTTTCAGTATCCTCCATACTTGTTTTCTGTTGCTGCACCCTAGATTTCCTGGAATATGAAAAGTAGACAGTGTGGGAGAGGCAGAGACCACTGTCGTCTTTACCTGGTCAGATCTGAGAAAAACAGCAGAGCTAGTTTCTCAGTGCTCCCATACTCAACCCCCGCTTCACTCCAGGACTGAGGGGTTACCTTGACTTATCCTGCCTGTTTCCCCCACCCCTTCCAATCCAGAAGGCAGAGGGTGGTAGTGGCAAAGGTTCTGGAAGCTGCAGCTTCTACATCATGAGAAGAGAACTCAGGCTTGGGTTAGAATGGGAGACAGTAATGTGCGCAACTGCATATAAAGACAAGTACATTTAACTAGCACAAGTTTGATGACTTGACATTATCCCAAAGGCATCAATGATTAGCAATGATTAGAAAGAGCTCACTTAATAGACATATTTTCCCCCGAGATATGACCAATAAATGTCTTGCCCATTTTAGAACAACCCAGAACAGGATTAGCTTCCAAGTCATTCCAAGAATGGCCAACCTTCCACTCTGGGAGAAGGTGTGAAATAACTACCTTCCATTCTGGGAGAAAAAGTCAGATTTAAAGTGTTGTTTTTAGGGACCTCCCTGGTGGCACAGTGGTTAAGAATCTGCCTGCCAATGCAGGAGACACGGGTTCAATCCCTGGTCCAGAAAGATCCCACATGCCGCAGAGCAACTAAGCCCGTGCACCACAACTACTGAGCCTGCACTCTAGAGCCCACAAGCCACAACTACTGAGCCCTCATGACACAACTACTGAAGCCCATGAGCCTAGAGCCCGTGCTCCACAACAAGAGAAGCCACTGCAATGAGAAGCCTGCACACCATAATGAAGAGTAATCGCTGCTCGCTGCAACTAGAGAAAGCCTGCGCACAGCAACGAAGACCCAATGCAGCCAAATATAAATAAATAAATAAATTTTTTAAATAAATTGTTTTTACATCATCTAACTGTACTGCTGGATTTGAGATGAGATCACACACCAACTTTTGGGAGCTGAGATGATGACCTTAGATGTGGTAACAGTGCACCTTGAAGGATGCCACCTCTCACAGGTGTTCAACACCTGTTACAAAACATGCCCATTGTGGGCACTGGGCTCACTTGGGGAAAAGGACAGCTGACTGCAGTTCCTTAGTAATCACCCCATGCCAGGCTCAGTACTTAGTGCTTGTCTGTCTCTCACACATACACATACACAATTATCAAAAAATGTTCCCAAACCTGGACAAATGTGATATGAACTAATTTAGCTTAATAGGTATCTAAGGAATTAGTAATTGAGCACAAAGATGTAGTCAAATTCTATTCACAACAACCTTGACATTAGAAAACGCTGGCAAAACCTAAAAACGACCACTTTTGCTCATACTGAGAAATACAGCATGACATCAATCCAAATAATCCTGAGGAAACCTGGGCAGACTACTGCTCCATCCATCCATGAGGAAATATAGGTGGCAGGAACAGAATTTAAAAATGTGACCATTCTGGGGCTTCCCTGGTGGCGCAGTGGTTGAGAGTCCGCCTGCCGACGCAGGGGACATGGGTTCGTGCCCCGGTCCAGGAAGATCCCACATGCCGCGGAGCAGCTGGGCCCGTGAGCCATGGCCGCTGAGCCTGCGCGTCCGGAGCCTGTGCTCCACAACGGGAGAGGCCACAACAGTGAGAAGCCCGCCTATCGCAAAAAAAAAAAAAGGGACCATTCTGACCAAAACCACATCCAATCTCTTTGTTCTCTGCTGTACCCCCTGTACCTAGAACAGTACCTAGCATACGACAAGTCCTCAATAAATACCTGTAAATAAAAAAATTTTCAATTAAGGAATAAGAGGCACAAAAGGATTAAATAATCCACCCAGGTCGCACACACATTACTGGAGTAGTGTTCACTGTACAAGGTAATAACAATTACTGATACTTTAATTACTGGCTTTTATGTAAGTATTAAAAATTGGATCTCAATAGGAAATTACCTTGTGTAAATTACCTTGCCAGGATCCTCTAATTAATCATCTTTGTAAGTTTATAGTTTAAATATCATTTGCACAAATTCTAGGGAACACAAACATCTAGCCCAATCCAGGCACATCGTTGGTTGTTCACTGTTTCCTCCTTCCTTCCTTATCTCACTATAAGGGAAATCACCCAACACACAGCATAAGAAACCATCATAGCTAAACACTTAAAAGGATTAATATATACTAATTCAACATCACCTCCAGCAATTAAGAAAGCAGCAGGTTTTGAATCAAGGCTCAACTACTTTCTAGCTTTGCGACATTCTTCAAGTTAACATCTAAGCCTCAATTTTTTAATCTATAAAATAGAATTAATAGCAGTGTTTATTACATGGAAATGATCCATGCCTGGTGCATAGTAAGTGCTCAATACATATTAGTTTGCATCAATGACCAAGATAAGAACTTCTTTATTTTTGAATTTTATTTTTTATACAGCAGGCTCTTACTAGTTATCTACTTTATACATATTAGTGTATATATGTCAATCGAAAGGGACTTCTAAAAAACAGTATGTCCTTCAATTTACACCATGTGGTGGAGAGCGTAAGCTATGGAAGAACAGCTCTGGATTTGGGACAACTCTCCTTATCTAACTTTATGACCTTGGGCGGGTCAACACCTCTGCTAGAACCTCAGTTCCCCACTCTTTAAAATGGGGATGATGGGGCTTCCCTGGTGGCGCAGTGGTTGAGAGTCCGCCTGCCGATGCAGGGGACACGGGTTCGTGCCCCGGTCCGGGAAGATCCCACATGCCGCGGAGCGGCTGGGCCCGTGAGCCATGGCCGCTGAGCCTGCGCGTCCGGAGCCTGTGCTCCGCAACGGGAGAGGCCACAACAGTGAGAGGCCCGCCTACCGCAAAACAAAAACAAAAACAAAATAAAATGGGGATGATGAGCCCCACCTTGCAGGGTTGTTGTTACCATCAAGTAAGAAGAAGCACAAAGTGCCCAGCTAGCCCATGAGCAGGTACTCACCGAATGGCAGTTACCTCTTCCCTTCCATTACAGGCTAGAAGGTAGAGGGAAGGGAAAGGAATTGGGCAGGAGAGCAGCGGCAGGCCGGAAAGAAGCCTCCAGAAATGTTTACAGAGAGGTGAAGGTTCACGGCTGCGGGGCGTTTCATCCCCGCCGCCGGAGGCTCCACGCAGGTCTCCCTCGTTTACCACCTCTGAGTAGCCATTTGGGTCTCTCTGCCTACTGCTGGCCCATCTCCCCCAAGCGATTCTGCATGTAGATCAGAAGACACGCTCCACCCTGCTACCACCGTAGTCGGAGCAAAGCGAGTCACTCCTTTCCAGGCCTTGGAGCCCCTCACTCAGGCGCTGGAGCCTGCACTCACCTGTGAGGCTGACACCCGGTCTCAATGTCAGCAGCGCCCCGGGACCACGAGCTCCCAGGGAAGGCGCAAAGGCTGGGACGCTCAGACTGCGGCCCAGCGACGCCCCCACCACGCCCCCCATGGGCGGCCGAGCCCCCCTCCCCGCTGCAGCCGGCAGCCGCGGAGTCCCCACGGCCACCAGCAACCAGCGTGTAGAGCACCGCGCCGCCATCTTGGCCCGGGGACACTGCGCCTGCGCCACCCGGCTCAAGGTGGCCTCACGCGGACTACGCACGCGCGCAGAGCCGGCACTTCTAGGGGCGGGGCCCGCTGCGTTCACTCGCGGGAGGAGTGAGGGAGACACACGCACGCACCCGGGCGCACGCGCGCGTTGCGCGTGCGCTCCGCACCCAATGCGCTTTCTTCGTAGCAGACGCCGAAATGATGTTTGCTCTAAGAACTGCTAATAGGTAACTTGCCTTGAAGAGCCTAGTCATTCTGTGTTGGATGATCAATACTGTACCTTATCTGTATAAGGGCGTGGTTGAGTGCAGCCGAATGTAACTGGTCTGAGGGGCCCGGCAAGGGGCGGGACTACAAACCCCGGCGTGCAATGCGGCCGTCAGTAGCGCAGATCTCAACATGCAGCGCGCGGCTTCCTTCCTCCTGACCCTGAGTCTTAGGTCTCCTTGCTTGAGGCTTACTCATCCGGCGTCGGCGCAAGCGGCTGCGGTCTCTGCCCTACTCCTAGATCCAGGCCTCAAGCTCACTCTCCCTCTGGATGATTCCCCACGAAAAGAACTTTGATCGCTCAGCTGTCTCCTAAGCGCATTTGTCTTTTCCAAACCTGTAGTGAACTTGGCGGTCGCTGAATGTGAGCCGAGCTACCCGAAAACGAATTTAATAAACGTTTTGGTCACCTATTAGGTGTCCCGCGCGTTCTAGAATGTCGAGGATGCAATGATGAATGACATACCATCCCTACTTTGGAGGAGCTCACGATGAGTCGAGAGACAGGCTCCTTGGCAACTAAGATAATGTGATCAGTGCTATTGTAGGTATAAACAGTGTTACAGGCACACAGGTGACGAGTTTCTTAAATAGGTCGGGGGCATTGGGGTGTCAGGGAAGGCATCTGAGAGGTAACATTCGAGTTGGACTTTGGTGAAAAGTGTGTCAGGTAGCGGTGGAGGGGAAGAGTATTCTAAGCAGCAAGAACTTCAAAAGCAGATGTGAAAGTGCTTGCCCTGTACGCTCTAAACTTGGGGGTGTATGACTGGAGATGAGGCTGGAAAGATAAACCTGGCCTGGTAAGTCCTGTAGAGGGGTTTCTGCTTTCACACTCCCACCGCCACCACCCCTAACAATAGAAAGGTAACCTGAGGGCTCATGGATGAATTTAAGATGGTCTGTGCTCCTTGCCCCTTCCCCCATTATACATGAAATTTTTGTGTATGTGGATATAAATCTGGGGAAATATCCATAGCTTTCATCAATCAAATTCTCCACAGGCTCTGAAATTGAAAGAAGGTTAAAAACCACTGGTCCAGTGAAGAAGAGTTATGAGGCTGTTGTAAACTGCAAGAAATAGTTGAGAGTTTGCGCTAGGAAATGTAGAGGACTGAGGTGAGCAAGGGACGTTCTAGAGAAACAGGAAAAGGCTGTCCATGGGATGGGAAGTGGGGAAAAGAGTTTGTTTAATATTTAAATGTCTCCAGCATAGTGCTTAAGCTTATGGGCTGTGGAGTCAGACTGCCTGGGACTGAATCCCAGCTCTGCTGTGTGTCCTTGGACAACTTACTTTACCTCTCTGTGCCTCAGTTTCCTTTCTCTTGTTTTTTTGGCTGCGCCACGTGGCACACAAAATCTTAGTTTCCTGACCAGGTATCGAACCTGTGCCCACTGCAGTGGAAATGTGGAGTCTTAACCATTGGACCAGACCGCCAGGGAAGTCCCTCAGTTCCCTTTCTCTAAAATGGGGCATAATAGTAACTACCTCAAAGGATCATCTGAGGACAGAGTGAGATAATCCATGTAAAGCCTTCATACTGTACTTGGCACATAGTAAGTGCTCAATATATGTCAGTCCTATGTGCCAGGCTCTATGCTAAGCACTGGAACACCAAGGAGAACGCAGACAGTTACTTGCCCAAAGGGATCCCAAAACCTAAGGGGAGCGGGGAGGGTGCTGGATGAGAAGTACAGCTTTCAGGAATAAAAGCTGAGAACAAGAGCCAAAGGGATTTTCATTTACCACCTCAGAGTGAGTTAGGAACTAGAGGAGGGCTCACTAATATGAAAACTTTGTCAGCTTTGTAACTTCCTCACTTTTTTGTATTTTAGTACCAGCCCCTCCCCCCATCTACTTCCCCACACTGATTAACAGTGAAGATCCTCCACACCGAAAGTGGGTGTGTGTTCTTGTTTTTGGGGATAGCAGGAAGGCTGATTGTTGGGGAGGCCATAGGGAATGGAGTGGGTGAGGGTGACTACTAAAGGAGGGGAAAAAGGTCCAGGAGAGAACACGGAAGCCTCTGGCAAGACTCCCTGGTGAGAGCAGCCTAGGGCTATGCCTGCTTTCTCTCACTGCTAGTCACCATAGAAAAACAAGAGATGATACAGTTACTAAACGAGTAGATTACAAAGCTTGGGAAATCTCCACAGCAGTGGTCCTTGGTCTGTGCTTCCTGAATCATCTTGAGTCGATGGTTGTTTGGAGACAACGAATATGCTTTTTTATGTTCTCCAAACAGTAGTCATGCCAAGCTAAAAATCCCAGGAAAGAAGCAGTTTTGGGGGAAAAAGATAATGAGTTATTATTACTTGGACTGAACACCCCTGAGATATCGATGGGACCAATTTCAGGCAATTGGTGGCTATGGAGAGATCGGAAAACTTTGGCTGTGCTAAGAACAGTCTCCAGCTCACAAAGAACTTTCTCATGTTTTCTATCTTGATACAATCACAACCCTGTGGGTTAGTAGGGCAGAGGCTATTCCCATTTTTACAAATGGACCCCTCACCCTCACCACAAAATAACACCAAAATAAGCTCTGAAAAGTGAAAAGACTTGTCCAAGTTCACACAGCTGGTGAGTGGGTGAACTAAGATCTTTTAACAGCAAAACTAGAGCCCTTCTCTTTAAACCATGAGCCTTGGTAAATTGTGATCAGTAGATCCCAGTCATATAACCCTGGATAGTTTACAAAGCACTTCCTCATGCAGAATTTCATTTGCTTTTTACAACAAAAGGAGAGGGACAGGGCAAGTATTTATTACCACCCTCACCTACAGATGATTTCACCATCACCCAAGGACTTCAGCTGTGACTGAACACAAATGCATCCATCCCAGGCTGTGGCTAAAAACTGGGATGAGCACACAGGCGACACCTACCCACACTTTCAGGCAAAATATGTCCTGGGTCTCCTTCCCCGCTTCCTCCCCGTCCCCCCCCCCCCCCGCCCCCTTCTCTGGTCTAAAGCCAAAAACTTCAGCTTTAAGGAGAAACAAATGTTTTGCAAAAGGCAGACAAGTTTCGCAAGCATCTTCCTGTCTGCACTTCTCATTTTACTATTCTACTCCTCCCTTTCTGGCTCTCCTGAGGTGGGGAGATCTGGGAGCACTAGCAGGGAATTTAAGTGTGGTCCTCCAGCGTGCTGGGCTGAAGGCAAAGGGAGACTAGAAGGTCTACCCTGTGATTTCCAGTGGACATTGGGCTTCTGAGGTACTATGGGACTGCCCAAGTCCACAGCTACATGATGGGACCACTGCTCCTTCTCCATATGAGTGAGGAGCCCTTCCCAGGAGGGCAGAAGGGCCTAAGCCTTCAGAGGCAATACAAGCAAGGTCACAATTTCTCTAGTTGTGGCATTTCCTTTCCTCCCCAAGAGAGTATGGGACAATTCCGGGGGAGTGTGGAATGTGGGACCCAGATGTTCCCAGGCATGACCTCTGCAGTGGGTGCAGTTCCCTGCAGTAGAAGATGAACTATATCCTTGCCTGGCTCACCTGGGTATTCCCAACAGGACTTTCATGCTAATGATTTCCTAAAAGGCCCTTTAAAAAAACCACAAGTTGTTTCAGCTCCCAGCTAAATACTCTTCTGCCCAAGCTAGGCTTAAACTTACGCAATGTTTCACAAACCTGAGAAATGAAAGGAACTCCTAAAGAAAAAAAAAGAACCACAGTTGCTGAGAATAAAGCTGTGGATCTCCTGGTGATCAGTAGACTCCAAAGTGAAAAACATCACCTTAGTAAATGACAGTCTTTTCTATGGAAATGTCCTTTAGTTGTGAATTATCACCACAAAAATTAAATTTTGTGTTTCTGTTAAAATATTTTGGGGGGCTTCCCTGGTGGCGCAGTGGTTGAGAGTCCGCCTGCTGATGCAGGGGACACGGGTTCGTGCCCCGGTCCGGGAAGATCCCATATGCCGTGGAGCGGCTAGGCCAGTGAGCCATGGCCGCTGAGCCTGCGCGTCCGGAGCCTGTGCTCCGCAACGGGAGAAGCCACAACAGTGAGAAGCCCGCATACCACAAAAAAAAAAAAAAAAAATTGGGGGGACTTCCCTGGCAGTCCAGTGGTTAAGACCCCGTGCTTCCATTGCAGGGGGCACAGGTTAGATCCCTGGTTGGGGGAACTAAGATTCTGTGTACCACGCGGCACGGCCAAAAAATATATATATAAATAGTTTGCAAGTTATTGTAAAAAAGAAAGCAGAACAAATCACTAGATGTAGTAAAACTTCAGAGCCCCAAGACTACATGGGTACACCTCCATAAACAACAAAATAATAATACAAGGTGCACTGTCATGTTTTTCTCCATTTTTGAAATGTATTTTGTTGCTTAATTGTTCATTTCCTGTGCTGAAATAATTACATGTGCCTTTGTGTATTTTAATAAACAACCATTTCAGGGGCAGATAACTAGATCTAAATAATTTGTCATTGGCACTGAAGCTGGCCTCATGCCTCCCTCTCTTACAAAAATTCTAATTTATGGAAACAACTGACTTTACAGAAGATTGAGGGAACACCATGTCAGAAAATTACTCTCTTTGGAATCACAGCTGAAAATAAAGATGCATCCTAAGGCTCTTTAATGCTTTTGTGTGGTTTTTTTTGCTTTCTTCTTGCTCGTCCCTTTTCTTTCTGCTGATGTCTCTTCCTTTGGTTACACGAAGTGTTTTGAGTTTTCTAGAATGAGGACCTCACTATAATGGACTCCCAAATTCTTGTTCATTATTAATTACTCTTGGAAATAGGACCTGTGAAATTGAAATCATCCTGCCAGGCACCAAGCTAACCAGACATCCGCCCTATTGAAATCTAATCCACGTTTTGATAGGCTGCCTTTTAAGGTAGAGGGGTGTCTTCCTGTGTCCTTATAGACAGACAGTGAAATGGGGTTTCTAGGAGTGCAAAGAGACAAAGCTGTCAATTCATAGGCCTGAGGGGCTGGAAGGAATCTTGGAGGCTGTCAGTTCAACTTTGCAATCCATGAAGTAATTTATTCTGCTCAAGTCTGCAGCAGCCTTAGAGCTCTGAACTCTACTAAAATTATTCTCCAGTGATCACTCAGCCAGAATGGACCTGGGAACACGTGAGATGGTCATTCTCTGGGCCTTGATGATGTCCCTCTGGCCCTTCCATCTCCCCTGCTGTGGAGCTCAGGTTCATCACTATGGCAATGGAAAAGTTGACATTCTTCTACTCTGATTCCACCAGCCCCCAGTTTGTGGCAATAGTCACATGACCCAGCACAGCCAGGGGCATGACCTCTTTCTCTCCTGGGAGAGAAGGTCAGGGGATCACAAACCCAGGTGCCAGGACCAGACAGGTAAAGCACAAGAGTGGAGTGGCTGTGCATAAGACCACAGGGGCTGGGACTTCCCTGGTGGCATAGTGGTTAAGAATCCACCTGCCAATGCGGGGGACACAGGTTTGAGCCCTGGTTCAGGAAGATCCCACATGCCATGGAACAACTAAGCCTGTGTGCCACAACTACTGAGTCTGTGCTCTAGGGCCCGCGAGCCACAACTACTGAAGCCCGGGCACCTAGAGCCTGTGCTCCGCAACTAGAGAAGCCACGACAGTGAGAACCCCACACACCCCAATCGAGAGTAGCCCCAGCTTGCTGCAACTAGAGAAAACCCGTGGGCAGCAACGAAGATCCAGCGCAGCCAAAAGTAATCAACTAAAGATCCCACATGCCGGGCTTCCCTGGTGGCGCAGTGGTTGAGAATCTGCCTGCTAATGCAGGGGACATGGGTTCGAGCCCTGGTCTGGGAAGATCCCTACATGCCGCGGAGCAACTAGGCCCGTGAGCGACAACTACTGAGCCTGCGCGTCCGGAGCCTGTGCTCCGCAACGGGAGAGGCCACAACAGTGAGAGGCCTGCGCACCGCGATGAAGAGTGGCCCCTGCTCGCCACAACTAGAGAAAGCCCTCACACAGAAACGAAGACCCAACACAGCCAAAAATAAATAAATAAATTAAAAAAAAAAAAAAAGATCCCACATGCCAAATGGAGATCTTGCATGCGGCAATGAAGATCCCATGTGCCTCAACTAAGACCCTACGCAGCCAAATAAATAAATAAATATTTTTTAAAAGTGGCAGTTGCTGTCAGCTCCAGCGCATTTTAGCCACGTAGGGATGTGGACCTAGTGTTGCCAGATCTTTCAGTTTTTCAAGAGATCTGAAAACTTTTTTGAAGCTTCCCAATTTTTAAAACACCATGTGAACCACTAAAACATATCTGTAGACCAGATTTAGCCCATGGCATATCCATTTGTTACCTCTGGGGGTTAAAGGCTTTCTCGCTTTCTGACTGTGCCCATTTAGGCCCATCTGACATAATGGTACATTAAAAAAAACACAAGTAATTCAGGGATAACAATGGAGTGACATCAAGCAAATCTGGGAGGTTTACAATGAACTTTTGCAGTAGGTGTATAGTTGATTTATATTTTTTTTATTGTGGGAAAATGCACATAATAAAATTTAACATCTTAACTATTTTAAGGGCACAGTTCAGTGGTATTAAATATATGTATAATTTTGTGCAACCATCACCACCATCCATCTCCAAACTCTTTTCATCCTGTAAGACTGAAACTCTATACCCATTAAACTCCCCACTTCCTCCTCCCCCAGCCCCTGGCAACCACCATTCTACTTTCCATCTCTATGATTTTGAGTACTATAAGTACCACATAAATGGAATCGTACAGTATTTATCTTTTTGTTCTCAAGTTTCATCTATGCCTAATGAAATCTGCATCTTGCAGATTTTCTTTCCTTTTTTTTTTTTTGGCTGCACCATGAGGCTTGTGGGATTTTAGTTCCCAAACCAGGGATGGAACCCCGGCCCTCAGCAGGGAAAGTGAAGATTCCCAGCCACTGGACTGCCACAGAATTCCCGATTGTCTTTTTTTTTTTTTAATCTTATTTATTTATTTTTGGCTGCGTTGGGTCTTCATTGCTGCACACGGGCTTTCTCTCGTTGCGGCGAGTGGGGTTACTCTTTGTTGCGGTGCATGGGCTTCTCATTGCGGTGGCTTCTCTTGTTGCAGAGCACAGGCTCTAGGTGCGAGGGCTTCAGTAGTTGTGGCACTTGGGTTCAGTAGTTGTGGCTTACGGGCTCTAGAGTGCAGGCTCAGTAGTTGTGGTGCACGGGCTTAGTTGTTTTGAGGCATGTGGGATCTTCCCAGACCAGGGCTCAAACCTGTATCCCCTGCATTAGCAGGAGGATTCTTAAGCACTGTGCCACCAGGGAAGCCCCCCAATTGTCTTTCTTTTTAAAAGCTAATTACTTTAAACAATATTCCAATGAATGTATATACCACATTTTGATTATCCACTCATCCATCAATGTACATTTGGATTCTTCCATGTTTTAGCTATTGTGAATAATGCTGCTATGAACATAGGCGTGCAAATATTTCTTTGTGACTCTGTTTTCAATTCTTTTGGGTATGTACCCAAAAGTGAAATTCTTGGATCATGTGGCAGTTTTATTTTAATTTTTTAAGGAACTGTCATAAAGTTTTCCACAGTGTCTATACCATTTAACATTCCCACCAAGCACGTACAAGGGTTCCAATTACTCTAAATCCTCTTCAAGGCTTATTACTTTCTGTTTTTCTGGGTTTTGTTTTTCGTTTTGTTTTGTTTTTGATAGTAGCTATCCTACTGTGTGTGAAGTGTTAACTTATTGTAGTCTTGATTTGCGTTTCTCTGATGAGTAGTGATGTTGAGCATCTTTTCATGTGCTAATTGGCCATGTGTATATCTTCTTTGGAGCAGTATCTATCAAGTCCTTTGCTCATTTTTAGGTAGGTTTAGGGCTTCCCAGGTGGCGCAGTGGTTGAGAGTCCGCCTGCCGATGCGGGAGATGTGGGTTCGTGCCCCGGTCTGGGAAGATGCTGCAGAGTGGCTGGGCCCGTGAGCCATGGCCGCTGAGCCTGCGCATCTGGAGCCTGTGCTCTGCAACGAGAGAGGCCACAGCAGTGAGAGGCCCGCATACCGGAAAAAAATAAATAAATAAAATTAGGTAGATTTTTTCTTTAAAACTTTTTAAAAATATTAATTTATTTTCCTTATTTTTTTGGCTGTGTCAGGTGTTAGTTGCAGCACACGGGATCTTTGTCGAGATTATGGCGCGTGGTCTCTGCTGTGCTCAGGCTTCTCTCTAGTTGTGGTATGCGGGGTTTTCTCCTCTAGTTGTGGTGGGATGGCTCCAGGGCACGTGGGCCCTGTAGTTTGCCGCACGCAAGCTCTCTTGTTGAGGCGCGTGAGCTCAATAGTTGTGGCACGCAGGCATAGTTGCCCCGTGGCATGTGGGATCTTAGTTCCCCAGTCAGGGATCAAACCCTTGTCCCCTGAATTGGAAGGCAGATTCTTTACCACTGGACCACCAGGGAAGTCCCTATGTAGGTTTTTTGTTGTCGTTAAGTTTTAGGAGTTCTTTATATATTCTGGATATTAATCCCTTATCAGATCTATGATCTGCAGATATTTTCTCCCACCCTGTGGGTTGCCTTTCACTCTGCTGACAGTATCTCTCTCTTTTTTTAAAAATAAAATTTATTTATTTATTTATTTATTTTTGGCTGCGTTGGGTCTTCATTGCTGCGCGCGGGCTTTCTCTAGTTGCGGTGAGCAGAAGATACTCTTCATTGCGGTGCGCGGGCTTCTCATTGCGATGGCTTCTCTTGTTGTAGAGCACAGGACAGGCTCTAGGCGTGCGGGCTTCAGTAGTTGTGGCTCACGGGCTCTAGAGCACAGGCTCAGTAGTTGTGGAGCACAGGCTTAGTTGCTCTGCGGCATGTGGGATCTTCCTGGACCAGGGCTCAAACCCGTGTCCCTTGCATTGGCAGGCGGATTCTTAACCACTGCACCACCAGGGAAGCCCCTGACAGTGTCTTTTGATGCACAAATTTAAAAAATTCTTATGCAAAAAACAAAAAAAAAAAACAAAAAACAAAACAAAAAAAATTCTTATGAAATCCAATTTGTCTATTTTTTCTTTTTTGCCTGTACCTTTGGTGTCATATCCAAAAATTCAGTGCCAAATCCAATGTTGTGAAGCTTTTTCTTTCTTCTTACGAATGAGGCAATTTATTAACCCATCATCGTTTGTTCTAACGCTTCTTGTTGGCAGCTGCCACCTGTCCAGAGATTCCATCCAGATCTCTCTGTCCGTGAGGTGTTAGTTTGAAGCCCCCATCTTGGTCCTTTTCCACCATTTTTAGCCCGTCCAGGGCTTGGAGGACCCGACGGGCCACGCTCTTGGAGCCTCTGCTGAAGTGGCTGGGCATGACACCATGTCTCTGACACACCTCATAGATCTTGGTCATGGAACCAACCCCAGCGTCACCCTGGAGGTATAGGTGCCATGCTGTGGAAGCATCTTGTATGTAGAACCAGTTCTCATCGTAGGGAGAGAGCTCTCTATGCTTGGCCAGCTTGACAGTGTCCACCCATTCAGGGACTTTCAGCTTCCCGGACTTTTTTTTTTGCAGTACGCGGGCCTCTCACTGCTGTGGCCTCTCCCGCTGCAGAGCACAGGCTCCAGACGTGCAGGCTCAGCGGCCATGGCTCACGGGCCCAGCCGCTCCGCGGCATGTGGGATCTTCCCGGACCGGGGCATGAACCCGTGTCCCCTGCATCGGCAGGCGGACTCTCAACCACTGCGCCACCAGGGAAGCCCTTCCCGGGCTTTTTGAGGAAGGCTGCCAGAGCTCTGACGAACTCCTGCTGGTTCACGTCTTTTACAGTAACTCCAGGCATCGTGCAGCCTCCAAGCTGCCAGCCAGGGGAAAGGTTGTTGTGAAGCTTTTGCCCCATGTTTTCTTCTAAGAATTGTATAGTTTTAGGTCTACAGTTGATTTATATTTGAACCACAATACATAATGTCTGAATGTCCCCGTACTGGAAAGTTATAAGTCAAATACAGTTGATGCAAATAGGGGTTACTGCATACTGTAGAATTAACCAAACAACCAACAGTAAGTAAAGGATGGTAATAAACTTTTAGTAGGACTTCCCTGGTGGTCCAATGGGTAAGACTCTGTGCTCCCAACGGAGGGGGCCTGGGTTCGATCCTTGGTCAGGGAATTAGATCCCGCACAAATGCTGCAACTAAGAAGTCCACACACCGCAACTAAAGATTCCTCGTGCCGCAACTAAGACCCATTGCAACCCAAATAAATAAATATTTTTTAAAAACCCTAACTTTTAGTAACCGTAATTCTAAAAACAATATCTGGTATGGAGGTCCCTCAGAAAATTTAAAATAGAACTACCATATGCTCCAACAATCCCACTTCTGGGTATATATCCAAAAGTATTGAAAGCAGAGTCCAGAAGAGATATTTGCACAGCCATGTTCTTAGAAGCATTACGCACAATAGCCAAGAGGTGGGTGAACCCAAGTAACCGTTGATGGACAAATGAATAAACAAAATGTGGTAAATACATGCAACAGAATATTATCCAGTATTAAGAAGGATGGAAATTCTGCCACATGCTACAGCAGGGATGAGCCTTGAGGACATTACAATGAAATAAGCCAGTCACAAAAAGACAAATGGTGCATGATTCCACTTATATTTGGTATCTAAAGTAGTCAAATTCATAGAAACAGGAAGCAGAATGATGATTACTATGGGTTGTGGAGAAGGGGAAATGGGGAGCTGTTGCTTAATGGCTATAGTTCCAGCTTTGCTTGAAAAAGTTCTGGATATCTGTTGCACAACACTGTGAATGTCTTTAACACTCCTGAACTGTACAGGTAAAAATGTTAGATTTTATATGTTTTTTTGCCACAATTAAAAAAAAGAAAAGCATAAGCGACACCTGCAGTAACTGAACACCACACGAACTCAAGACTGTACTGATGGTACCTTTTCCAAAGCTGCTGGAATTCCAGAGTCTGAAGAGTATGTGCCATGGGAAAGCTGAACTCCAGTGGCTGCCAGACTGCTTGGAATTCCAAATCCCAGGCCTCAGTCAACCCTACTGCCAGTCTATCTTTAGTTTATGGAGATCAAAGGCGCTCTTAACTCAGTAAGGGCCCCTGAGTGGTCACATTTTACCTGTGAGAACTGAAAAAAAGAACTTGCATTTTGGAGTCCATTCGTGCCCATCGCCAGACTAAGCTTTCAGAGTTACCCTCTGGACAGCCTGCCTAAGTTGAGGCTGTTGTCTGCAGCAGGCTGCGGAAGGCGAATTTTCACAGCAGCGGGACGTTGCGACCAATCATTCGCATTCCTCAGATCAAAGTCCCCTTTCCAGACACGCCTGAGCAGGTGTTATGTCTGTTCTCAAGCAGAAAGCATATTCTGGAATCACGGAGTCAATTTTCAAAGCGAAGAGAAAGGCTTGTGGAAGGCATCGCCCCGGGTTTGTCCAGGGACTAACCAAGCAGCGCCGGTTGGGCAAATTTGCTGTTTAAGAGATTCTCCATGGCCCTTATCTCCTGCCCTTTCAGCTTATCTGTAATTGATTGATTTCCTTCGGGGAGTTTTGCCCCACCGCGCCCAAGGCCTGACTCGCCCTTATAAGGGGACGCTGAAGTCTCCATCCCCGCTCCTACCGAGCCCACATGACCTAAGCAGGGTGGGTGGGATGCGGAGCCTATAGAGTAGGTCCCACGGACAGGGATTTGCATCAGACCTGGGCTCCCCTCCGCTGCCACTATCTGTGTGACCCGTGCCAGCGGCCCTTCTCTCCCTGAGAGTGTTCCCAGTCTCTTAAGTGGAGCTAGTTCACTTCTGCTTTCCCTCCTCCCGGGGAAGGACGTGCCCCGCACACTGGAAAGCCTCCCGAGGTAAATCCCTGGCCACAAAATCACAGCTGTTGCCCCTCGTCCCGCACGCCCGGCGAGACAGCGTGCGGACAACGCGCCGCACGTGACCTCCCGACCCGCGCGGCCAGGCCTTCGGCATCGGGGCGTGGCCTCCAGGGGAGGCCGAGCGGCGATTGGCCTGGGGGCGGGGCCCTCGGCGTGCGCGCGGAGGGAGAGGGGCTGGGGGAGTGGCTCGGTGGACCGGAGCGGGCTGCGATTGGCCTGAGACGCGTAGGGGCGTGGCCGCGAGCGGCGGGCCGTGGGTGGGGCGGGAGGAGGCGGGAGTCGCGGCTGCTCGCGGTGCACCTGAGAGCCGACGCTCGGGTCTTCGAAGCTGCGCCCGCCGGGGTCCCCGCCGCCATGAACCGCTTCAAGGTGTCCAAGTTCCGGCATACGGAAGCTCGGCCGCCCCGCCGCGAGGTGAGCCCGGCTGCCATCGCCCTTTGCCCAGCGGCCACCCCTCCCCCTCCTCTGGCCCAGCGCGGGGACCCTCCCCCCGCCCCGAGCCCGCCTGCCCAGGCGCGCCCCCTTCAGGCCCGGGGCCGTCGTCCGGGCCGTCCGTCGCCGCGCGGTGGTCGGAGCCTGGCGCTCCCGGGACACTCTCTGGCCTCGCCATGAGCCCTGCGGTCCGCTGGGCCGGCCGCCTCGCACCGGGACCACCGAGGCGGCGCAGCCAGCCCAGTGGGGCCAAGGCCTGAAGCCTGCGAGGCTGCCTGCCTTCCCGGCTTCCGGTCGGCCTCGCCCCGAGCCGGGCGGCTCCTCCTCCCTGCCGCCCCGATCGCCCCTGCCCGGGGCTGGGGTGTGAGAGACTTGCCCCTCTCTGCCCTGGTCTTGGCGAGTCTGGGTGTGTCAGCTGGAGAGGGGGAGCTCCTCGGCCAGAAGCGCGCTCCTCCCTCGGGTTTCCGCTGGCGCTTCCTCTCGCGGCTGGCGTGAGCTCTTCCCCTATTCGGGGTGATGCTGCCAAAGGCTGGGTGGGGCCTGGGAAGCCCGAGCAGGTGGAGCCCAGAGGAAGAGCTGAACCAGGTGGTGGAAGGGCACCTCGGTCCCTTGGAAGCGCAGCAGGCCTGATGAGGGGTGTGCTTCAGAGATGATGCCATCCTTGGTCTGCAGCGAAACATTATTTGTGAGGTCTGTGAGTGTCTTCCAATAATGAAGCCTAGGAACTGACCTCTGGTGACCCCATCAGGGACCATCTCACATGAGGGCAGCCTGGAGCAAAAACCCGGTTTTTATCCTCTGGATCATATTTCCTGGGCACGTCCCATGTGCTGTGTCCAGCTGCTGGAACCACAGCAGTGAACACGACAGCATTTTCCTTCCTCTCTGATGCTTAGTCTCTTGAGGGAGACAGCCAGAAAGCAGACAGGCATGCAAGGGCAATGCAGGTTTTAATAAGTGCACTGAAGATCACACATGAGGGGCTGGGATGAAGATGGAGATGGACCTAGAGGTGGGGTTAACCTCAGTAGGATAGTCTGGGAAGGCTGCTGGGAGGAGGTGACATTTAAGCTAAGTCAGGAAGGGTGAGAAGCAGCCAGCCGTAGGAAGAATGGGGTGAGAAAGAGCCTGGTGGAAGAAGGAAAGTGGGCCCGGGTGGATGGAGGGCAGTGACAGGGAAGGATGGTGTCAGATGAGTCCATAGTGGGCCTGCAGAGCCCGAGGGCCACAGGAAGAAGTTGGGTTTTACTCTGAGTGCAGTGGGGAGCCATCGAAAGGTTGAAGTGGGTGTGGGGGGCTGGTGGTGGAGAGGTTCTCACATTTGCATTAAGACCGTTGCTCTGAGTGCAGTAATGCTTGGAGGGGTCTGGAGTGTACTTGAGGAGCTCTGGGGCTTGTTTCTGGGTGGATCTCAGTCCAACGAGGTAAACAGACAGGCATGGAATTAGGGATTACAGGGAGAGCTTAAAACGGTTTATATGTTAGGGAGATGGGAGAGCAGGTGATGGGTTCTCTTCAAAGATATTTCCTGTCACTATATTTGTACAGTAAACATGAATCAGGAGGGGAGAATAATGCAAGATGGTAATGTTCTACCCGTGGCAGGTGAACATTGAACTAGAAACTTGGATGGTGGGGGTGGTTTCCAGGACACTGTGAGTGGGTGGGCTGGGAAATGTGGGTGCTCGATCGTCAGGCGGCAGGGATGCTGCGAGGTGCTGAAACCAACCGGAAACATTGGGACCCCGCCGACCTCCGTTTTAGAAAAAGTGTTCCTCTACTCTTCTACGTATGTGGGTGTTAACCTTATTGCCTTTTTATGGGGGTGCATCGTTCACCTGACTATGGGACTTCGTGGAAAGGCCTTTATTTTCCTCTCTCTTAGCTTGAATGTTTTCTCCTGGGGCTTGGAAGAGACCCTGTACTTGGTGGAGGCCTTGAGCAATGTAGCTGAGGAAGTCAAGTCTGTCTTCTACCTTAGGTGCTTACTTCTCCTTTCTCTGCTTCTCTCCCTTTGAACAGAATCAAACCCCTCCACCCCCGACCAACACACACACTGCCCAGTTAGCCTCTTGACTTTGTTCAGCCTAAGCTTCCTTCTGACAGCTTCGTCCCCCTTATTAGAGAACTTATTTAATAAGGGAAATCAACCCCTTAATGACAGGTTATCATTTCAAGGACATTTTGCATTTTCTAAGGGACTGTGTGAGTGGGGACAGGGTTTGATCCTAAGGAATGCATCTCTAATGGTGCAGCTTTAAGGTAGAGTTCCCTGGATTATGCCGTATGCCCTACCCCTTGCTTTAGGCAGAGCCCTGGCCAACACGTTTTTTGTTCTTTATTTTCAGACCTGGATCAGTGACATTCGAGCAGGAACTGTCCCCTCATGTGGGAACCATATCAAAGCCAGCTGCAGCTTAATTGCATTCAACTCTGACCGTCCAGGTAGGGAGGTGAACATGGTTGTGGGAATTCAGACATTGTCACCCTAGGTAGGGTGGGGCCAGAGGCTTGGAGGGTCCTCTCAGGACTCAGAGGTCAGCACCATGAAGGCCTTAGACCCCTGCAAACTGGTCAATGTGCAGTAGGCAGATTGCCTTTGCTTTGGGCATTGCCAGCACACTTTGTATAAACATGTTGGCTTGGTCTTCAAGAGCTTGGCCTGGAGGGTGGGGAGGGGCTGTCGCCTTTGTTTCCAGCTATCCTCATATGCAATCCACTCCTCTTCTGGGAGCAGCTGGGATCAATACAAATGCAAAGCTCCCTGTGTTGGTTGAAACTCTTTTGGTTGTC